AAAAATAGCCAATAAAAGTCGTAAAAAATACTTTTTGCGATCGCGGTAAAATTGGCCTGAATTTGCATAACAACATGAAAAGTGGTAATTTGAAACCTTCATGCCAACGCGTGTTGTTTTTCACTGTGTTTTTTAATACAAAATGCGGCTGCTTTTTAAAAACATTTCTCTAACTAAAAAGGTAGAATTTACACTTAGTAGTACAATAATTCAAGCTGCTTGTTTGTTTTTGTTTTCTGGCTCTGTTGGCAAATTAAGCTTTCATTGATCGTATAATAATCGATGAGACGTGCCAATTTTGCTTCAAAACTCATCGGCGTGAAATCAATTTTTTCGTTTTCATTTTATAAGTCATATCACGAGTAAATTCTTTTTTTGAATGCAAATCTGCCCTCCTGAGAAAACAAATATTTCGTTCCAACTAAATGCTCCGTTAAGAAGGGGAGAAGAAACCCACTTGAGTTGGAAGATTCCAGTTTCTTGTTTGTCGGGGCTTTCCCTGCTGTCTCTAACCGTATTCTGAGTCATGTTATTTCTTATTAGGGGATAAAAAGGTCGTCAGAACGTGTTTCTAGACTTCGTAAAACTAAAATGCACACTTTATGCACATCTTAGGCACATTTTAGGCACAAAATCTTTGTTCCAAAGCACACTCTAGAATCCGATTTTCAGTCCAACGCACAGAGTACGAATTTTCACGTTAAAAAATGCTGTCTAACCTTAGATATTTGATCTTAGCGTAAAAATGGGTTTCCCGAAGTCTTAACAGTTAGTCTATAATGAAGGTTTAACTTATGAGCATTCCAAAAATTATTATTTCTCCTCTTAACAACAAAAGAAAGTCAATCAAAAGCAATCTTTTAAATTGACGTTCGCGCTGCACAGAGATCGGATGTAGACAGAACATCTTTCTGAAAACGCCCTAAACTTTGTTGTTTTGCCATTATGTTCAGTAATTTTTAATACAGTTAGTACTCATAAGTCACTGACCTTTGTGGAGAAATTTTTCCAAAGTACCATTAACAGAAACAGAGAAATCCCACAATATTCATGGTTAGACTGTAAATGTTATGCGAGCTGTTAAAAAATGGTCCCATTTTGAGCCATATTTTTCATATTTTAATTTTATTTTGGTCTTACAGCCAGAAAAAAAAATTCAATGGAAAGCTGTTTATAAACTTTAACTTCTTGCCAAATATCAATGCGATCTGAGTTTTAATAAGTTCATAAGAGCCAAACGATGTGAGATTCTTAGCCCTGTACACCAGTAGCTTGCGCCAGGCCATTTACTATATTTACCAATGGGAGAATGATTACAAAACCTAGCACACGCTCAAAGTCATACGTGTCACTTTCTAATATTCTACAGTAGGAGACTTTTCTTTTTTTTTTTTTACCTCAGAGTTGACAAGATTTTTGTCTTAATACTGAGAGAAAGTTTACCATTAAACATAACGAAAAATGTTTTCAATCCACTTTGAAGGACTACTTATTCAGCAAAACGATTGTTTTGAAAGAAGATAAAATTTGTTTTCCTGGAACTGTTTCGTGTGCACATTACATCTTTTAACATGCCGTCCAATAACTGCACGCATTCTATCGTATCATGTGTGGTGTTGAGTTGTCTCCTAGAAAGCCGTATTTGTCTTGACATACAGATTGTAGTTTTTGCTTCGAATATTTGACCACCTATCCAGGCTGGGAAGAGAATTTGATGTCCAATTAACACAGTATTTGTTTTCTTTACTTGTAATTCGAATGCTCTTTTTAGAGACTCATGCATCTACAACTGTGACAAGAACCGATGAACATTGCTGATAGTATAACAATTAGCTGTTTCCTGTCAAAAAACATATTTCGGCAATGGAAAACTTACTGGCGATCTAGCTTTTCTAGCAGCAAGCAGTGTACTGATCAAAGTCGTCTATTTCAGTGCCAAGAGTGCTTTCTAGTTTTTGCCATGGAAAACTTTAATCTTTGATTCAACATTTATGAAAACAAAACAAAACCCTTCCCATCTGATGCAACTGGATCATGGGGGCTTACTCTGTTCAAAAACTGACATCTCAATAAGCAGATATATGACTTGCCATTTCTGTAGGCTGATAAAAAAACTGTAGAGGTATGTGGTTTGAATGTGAGCTGCTGTTTGTTGCAGAAGAGCATTGCATGACTAGACAAATACAGCTGCGAGGGAGACTAGGTAACACACTCATAGCAGATCTAGTGCCTTAAAACAATTTTAGTAATGTGGGTAAATTTTGTGATTACAGTAATGTCTTATAACCATCAAAATGGGCAAACCAGTACCTTCATGGTCTGGGTAAATGTTAAAAAAAATTCAGCCCTGGTAAATGTTGTCCTTGAATCACTGAAAAATGGCCACGAAAGCCTGAAATTGGTATCAAAGATGGCTTTGAAGAAACTGAACACAAATTTGGGACCATTCCACCCAGAAAACCAGGAGTACCTTTTCAGATGTTCTGTTGCTCCTGGAAATTTTTTGCTGGCACTACGATTCAAAAAGTCATGTTCTATCTATTTTTTTTCCAAACGGATTTTCTAGAAACTTTTTGTAAATCATTTGGTGAACAACCAGGGTATTTGGTTGGTGGTGGTAGAGAAGGGATCATGGTATTTTGTACATAGTTGTGGGATGTGGAGTGAGGGAAACCAGGAGAAAAATACCAAAATAATAAGGGTTAGGAGGGGGTTCCAAAGTCTGAAGGAGAATATCTAAACATACCATAGTCCCCTTCTACAGAAATTATGACCATTCCCTGCACATGCTCTGATTGGTCAATTACCTATTTACTATATTTGCCAATGGGAGAATGATTACAAAACCTAGCACACGCTCAAAGCCATACGTGTCACTTTCTAATATTCTACAGTGGGAGACTTTTCTTTTTTTTACCTCAGAGTTGACAAGATTTTTGTCTTAATACTGAGAGAAAGTTTACCATTAAACATAACGAAAAATGTTTTCAATCCACTTTGAAGGACTACTTATTCAGCAAAACGATTGTTTTGAAAGAAAAAAATTTGCAAAGAGTGATTTGCACATGCAAAGGGTGAGCAGATGACAGCACCCATGTCATTTCCCAGCTATTTGTGAGCAAAAAGTTGTCTTCTTTTGATAACGACATAAAACACATGATAAATTGCTCAGTGTGTACTATTGAGTTATAGTTGCACTTGGGAAGATTGCAAAGCACTCAAGAAGCTAAAGTCGCATTCTTCGACTCTGGGCTTCTTTCGTGCTTAGCAACCTCCCGCGTGCAGCTTGTTGAGCCGTTTACNTTTTTTTTACCTCAGAGTTGACAAGATTTTTGTCTTAATACTGAGAGAAAGTTTACCATTAAACATAACGAAAAATGTTTTCAATCCACTTTGAAGGACTACTTATTCAGCAAAACGATTGTTTTGAAAGAAAAAAATTGCAAAGAGTGATTTGCACATGCAAAGGGTGAGCAGATGACAGCACTCATGTCATTTCCCAGCTATTTGGGAGCAAAAAGTTGTCTTCTTTTGATTACGACATAAAACACATGGTAAATTGCTCAGTGTGTACTATTGAGTTATAGTTGCACTTGGGAAGATTGCAAAGCACTCAAGAAGCTAAAGTCGCATTCTTCGACTCTGGGCTTCTTTCGTGCTTAGCAACCTCCCGCGTGCAGCTTGTTGAGCCGTTTACCAGTGTTATTTTACTTGCTACCCTATGATAGATATTTTAGGTTCTTTTTGTCTTGGGAAACCTGTGCCATATTTGCCAGAAGCACCCCTCTGTTTAAATCCCTCTGCCGAAAATCACCTTACCTTATTATGCTTGACAAGCTACTCATGGTGAGATCCGATGGAACTAAATACTTGATTTTGTCAAGAACAGGTAGACTTTTTTCCGTTTTGAGTCTTTCCACGATGACCTTTGAAATCAAGAAAAAGCATGTTACTAAAATGTACAACATAAAATTCTTGTCATAAGTGAAACGCTCACAAATATAGATAAATCCACTCTCTACCGAATGCCCGCTTACAGAGGCAAGAATGTTTAGTATGGTATGATTCTCCGATCTGCCACGTATAATTTCGCGAGACTGTTTGTGCAAACATGCACAAACCATCTTAAAATATGAGCTTAAACGATGGCCAAATATGCAACAGGAAAATAAATATAGTTGCAGCTACAATAACCAGCTTGTACTTCAAAATGAAAGGTTTTTTGTTACCTGGAACAATAACAGACATTAGTGTTAAGCTAAGCACATGCATTTACATACATTTTTCCTTACCGGAACTTTGTCGGGGTATTGGCGGACGATAGACTCAGAATCTCTCTTTCTTGCGGCTACATTTAACACAAAACAGCAAGACGTTAGTAAAAGAAAGCGAAAACTGCCAAGTGAGAGAAAAACAAGACATAAAAGTATTTGTTTTCAAGCGATGACGGGTGACGAATTATTCCGCCAATGCACATCGCGTCGCCTTCACCAAACCATTTTGCGCCAAAAAAGTCCACAAATGTAATTTTGTTTGGCTTACAGAAACTTTTTCTTTGCTTGAACGGCTTGCTCGTTTGTCCACTCATCCTTGACAGTGTTAAGTATCAAATTCGGTACTTTTCCAAGCAAAAAACACCCCAACTGAAAATAGCGACAATTGCTGGTTTGTTTTGTTTTGGTTTTTCCAGTCGATTCTGATTGCGTCATGAAAAAAAGATGGCGGCTAAAGCAATCTTGTTTCACACCAGGGGAGGGAGGGAATCCAGTATGGAAGATATTATTGTAGTTCGTGAGCAATTTTGCATTAAAGATTTGTTCGTTTTTATCGAAATGAAATTTATTCACTTATTTTTTTTATCAAAACAAAGACCACATAAAGATGAATTAAAACAGTAAAACTGGAGAATGCTATGCAAGCGCGTTTTCCCCTCCCCCAAAAGTATTTAACAGTAAGGTCTAGAAGGACTGGGTCAAGTTAGAACTTAGATCTCTTTTGGAGGCGGCGCGCCTGTAAACTGAATTTAAGAAGACAAAAAATGACAAAATCGACCATCATGGGCGAGAGTAATATTCACTTATTCACTTGGATCTTATGGCATAATCCCTGAGAACTGTCGTGGAATTTCTCACCAACCGAAGCGTAAATGGCTGAAAAGTAAGTTTTGATGATCTAAAGCTCTCATTGTTATTTGTGTAACCAGATTTAGAGAGTTGTTTGAGCTTCGCGAATTCTAGTGCTTGTTCCCATGATGGGTTTCAGCTTCAGCATCTTGTGCTAAATAATATGCCTGCCCTTAAATTGATATTGGCAGTGACTGATTTTTTCGCAGTTGGCAATATGATCATTTGTATTCTTTCAATTACCCAAAAGCATGTAGATGTGAATTATCGGGTACGAATTAACAAGGCATTTGTCGATTTAGAATGTGAACAATCGACAACGACCAGATTATAGCGTAGCAATGTGCCATTTCAGCATTGTATTCTAGCTTATACTATTTAGGCTTTGTGATGGGGTTACCACTCAGCTGTTAAGAACCTCTTGTAGAATTTTCCATCAATGTGTAGGTTGGTTTTCCGGTCTGGTTACTACTCATGCAGAAAATGGTTGCATTTAACGAACTTTCAATCGAAACACAACGTAATTATCATTGGGAAATTCGACAAGATTCTCGTACATCTGGAGCGTCACTTCTACCACTGTTGCCAGAAGTAATCATTCTCATCTCATCTGATACTTTCTAAACATATGATGGTGTAGATAAAACGGTTTTTTTCTCCATGGATCAAAGTAACTCTGACCTTTCTCGCCCCCTCATGAAACGCACCACTCGTCGGTAAAATAAGCTTAAGCTTACTTTGTTTGCGAAAGTGCGAAGAAGTAGTTAGATCCGTTCATTTCAGAAACGTAACTTGCTTATCCCCTGAGAAAATTAGCAAGGATTTGTACAAATTAGTGGGTCGGAAGTACCTGTAGTTGTATTTGTTCCCAGGCAATTAATTATAACTTGCATTTGCTTTAACGCATGATGTGTCACGAACTTGTTTAAAAGTACCGATGGGGTCTAATCCTTATCTGTCGTTATAAAGGTTTCACATACAAGTAGTTTACCTTACAATCTTATGTTTATTATGGTCTCTCTTGTTAGAATATCATTTTGTGGGAAGTTGAGGTGTTAATTTCAGTGAATAATACGTAAATCATAAACTCGATTTTTTGAATAATGCAACAGGAAACCTGGGATATTTCTAGAATTAACATACAGGTATCAGTTATTGTACCACGCTGTGAAGTGAAACTGCTTTAGAACAACAGAAATGTGGATTTTGTTTTATACCTCTTGGGCTTAACTTGTTCAGACTTGGTGTAATTGCGTGTTTCCTTTCGCTCTTGTATTATTTTTATATTCAATATTGTTCTTATTATTTTGTTTTGCTTATTAATGGACTTGTATGCTTCTATTTTTATGTAGTTCCTTAGCAATGTACTTTAGCTTCAGGTATTGACATGGTATTATGTTGTCTTTATCTCATGTTGCAAAGAACGTGAAAAAACTGTATGGCTCATTCGTCCAACCTTTGGTCCCATTTAAGATTTTCATTGTTTTCATGCATGGTTTTGTACAGTCCTATGTTAATGAGTATAAAACAGGGAAAATGGAAATACACTGAACCAGGGTAAATATTGAACTGCATGCATGGTGCAACATTTTTTGTCCTGGGACAATAAAATGGTGGATCAGCGAAAGGGCTATCACCTATGTAACAAATAGAAAACTTATCACTCAAGTTTTTGGTATCTTGAGGGTCCTTGTATGATATATATTTTTTAAAAGATTAACGAGCTCTGGAGTGATGGCTAATTGCCTTTGTAGCAAAACTCAGTGGCATTTCAGATAGCAAACAAAGACATGTCTGACAACCCTGGGCTAGTGGATTTACCATCAGGCTTGTGAAATCTGTTTTTCATTTACCCGATGGGCAAGTGAATGTTTTTTGCTTTGGAGGTTGTGGGGTTAGGGGGGTGGGGGTGGGGGAAAGAGATAAGGAATTCAATATTACAGAAGTTCTCTAAGACATTCGAGTTATCAGGAGCTCCAGGCAAATAGCAAACAGCCTGTTGATTGGAGAGAGCAATTTTAGCCCTCTTAGACCACAGTTTGCTTGTGCGGGACCACCTCTTTCTCATTGTAATAGGGAGCTTAAGCGACCACGACGGCAACGGCAGCAAAAACGTCACCTGGAAAGCGAGTTTGCACAGTTTAAAACTTTATTACTTTTGTTTCATTTCATACAAGTTGTTTGTTGTTGGGGAATTCTTCTTGAGTTGATTCTAAAGCCCTTTATCTAAGTTAAGAAAAAGAAAATTGTTGTCTTGTGTTCATGTCCTCCAAAAAATGTTGAAGTAGGAAGTTTACGTCCCAGTTGTGCAACGGTGGTAAAGAAATGTACAAAAGAGATATGCACATGCAAAGTTGATGTTTGGCTAATTTAAACCTATTGTTAATTTTTTGCCATTACTCTTTGCCGTCATGGTTGTCATTGCTGAAGCTCCCTTAAGTGTTAATTAGACAGGGCTTCTGATATTTCGCACGTTTGCAGAGCCACGAAATTCACAAAAACATGCAAAATACCGGGAAATTCCCTAATTTAAGTCTTATCAAATACATGTCTGCACAACATATTTGAAACTTATCTCGGCTACTGGGGCTGTTTACTTGCTGTAAATGTGCAAATTTCCCTTGAAACTTCATTACTGAAGTGAGCAAACAACGTCCTAAAACTATCAGGCGTAGTTAATGCTGTGAAAAACTCAGGGCACTATAGTTGTGATGTTTAAGGCTTCCCATTGACTGTTTTGTGGAGTGTATTGTTGAACATTGAAAGAGCAAATGATGACCTGATGTTAAAAAATGCGATTGATTTCTAGTGAAATTTGCCCTGAAACTTCCCACAAAATCGGCTGTTATTTGCCAATTGCTTTTTGGCGAAGTTTGCCCCCAAAATTCCCACAAAATCGGCTGATTTTTCCGCAAATTTGTCCCTCAAAATTCTGCAAAAATATTTGGCTTTTTTTTCCATGACCTATCAGGAGCCCTGATTAGAGGATGACTTGCCTGGACCCTCACTGATTGGGCAAGTATGGTTTAAAAGTTACTTGCAGCCCAGCAATGGGACTCTTTTTGAGTCCTGATCCTGATTTCACTCATTGTGTTAAATTCTAATTTCTCATCCCAACTATTTCCCACTGGGTGAGGATTACATCTTTGTGTTTAAGTTGTTGTCATTATAAGATAAATATGAAGTGCTGAGCGTAAATACAGGGCTGTCAATAAGGGCTGGTAGCTGGCCAAAACTGCTGGCTAGTTAGCCATCCTTAGCCAGCTACTTTCATCTCCTTCTACCATAACTGCTAACAAAAAATATGCACCATCGAATAAGATTGTTAAGCATCTGTGTTCCAGTTTTGAATGACATTGAACGCATATTGAAACAGGTTTAGATCTGTGAAACGTTCAAACCGTGCGATATTGTGGAATGTCTGTGACATTTCGATGGCATTGCTCCCAGTGAACATTGCGAGTATTCTGAGGGAACAACATAGCATACGCAGTCGAAAATACCTCTTGAAAACCCCTGGAAATGCCATTTCTGAGACTCTAAATTTCAAAATGTCCCTAGATGCCTTGGCCCTCAAGAAATTGTGCTTTTGGTCCAAGTTTCAAAGCACCTACTATTCAATATGAGCCTGCTACTTGAAAACATTTTTGACAGCCCTGGTAATATCACTCTAATTTCTCAATGTATTTGGTTGAATCATCAGACCTAATTTCTCCTTGGTTTCACCCTCTAATGTACTGTTGAATATTTTTCTACTTTCAGGGTGGAGTGGGTTGAAATAATTGAGCCCCGAACGGGGGAACCCATGTATGCCAACCTTAAAAGCGGTCAGTGCCTATGGGACCCTCCTGCTGGTGTCAGAGTGTAAGTCAAACAGTCATCATAATGAATGCTTTACCCTAATCAGTAAAATGAGTGCTATATAACCCAAAACAAACAATTAAGCTTAACACCAAACCCTACCCCTAAATATCTGTAAACTAAAGACTATTTCTTAACAAGATATAATGAGAGCAGTCTAAAAAATTTTGTTCTGGATCAATAATTTCGTACCAGTTTAAAAATAATGGTACAAATACAAAGACAATTTACCATGAGCAAAATTGAACTACAACACATCCAATACATGTACATTGTCCAACAGATAGGTAGTGAGAGTAGCTCGCAAAATTAATAACCTGTTTGATACAGGCACCAAGGGGATATGCCATAGTGTTCATATTATTGAGCTGTCCATATTAAGCTGGCTCTGTGAAAGAACTTCACGGACACATTTCTTCTGTACGAAGATGAAAGCAGACATTTTCAGCAGAAAACAATGTTTTACTTCTTAACTGTAACTGTAACAAGTTCATCCTAAAGAAACCCAATGATCTGTTATTGTAGTATCAGACTAAATGTACCTTTTAACTTGGTGTTCTTAAAACATGACAGTGGAATCCATCACTTTAATCTTTACTGATAGCTTTAGTTTGGGTCTCAGCTAGGTGGACTTCTTTGAAAGGTCATTTGCCATTTCTGTTTGGTTTTCACTGGTAGTATTTTCAGTCCTAGACAGTGCACAGATCAAATGTGTCCTTAAAGTGGGGTTGATGAAACATATAATTATGGGAGTTTGTGACTTGGCACATAGAAAAGTGTCCATTGTCTGTATTAAACGTTGTCCGTATTAAAGGAGAAGTTCATTCCCAGGCCAAATGGCAGTTTTTTCTCTTTGCTGACAAAAAGATTATACAAAGGTAGGTTACTCACCAAATTTCAGCTTCCAAAGAGCTTGCAAACCCTATGAAATCCTCTTCTAAAGTATCCCGAAATTATAGATCTGGGAGCCGCCATCTTGGAGAACTCATAGAAGCCTGGTGACGAGTACATGCCGTCAATGAGCTCAACCTGAGTTGGCAGAAAGATTAAATCACTCAACAGTTTTTTTTCTTTGCTTCGGATTGTGTTTTTTGTGACCACGACTTCTTGTGCAGCTCAGAAATGAAGACACAAGAAGTTTTGAGTGATTTAAGAACTTAGGTTGAGCACAGTGACATCACTCACTCGTCACCAGGCTGCTAAGAGTTCTCCAAGATGGAGGCCCCCAGATCTCGGATTTCGGGCTACTTTAGACGAGAATTTCATAGGGTTGGAAAGCTCTTTGGAAGTCGAAATTTCTATGAACCACCTACCTTTGTATAATCTTTTTGTTGGCGAAAAGAAAAAATCCTGCCATTTTGGAATGAACTCCTTTAAGCAGGTTAGTTTTAGAGTGGAAAATATATGAGCTTTTAATTGTGACAACAAAACTGTCCATTACATGTATATATTTGGGCAACTGTATTAAGTGGGTGTCCATTGAACAAGGTTCCTTTGTATTGCAATAATATAATTATTATAGATTTAGTTAGGGGTAAGAGTCATGCTCTCCATAATATCTAAAGTTTGTTCAAACAAAATATAAATTGTGTAATGCTAGGCGGTGAAGGCAATGCTGGAGAAGGGTGAAAAACAACAATAGGTCTAATTAGCAAACAAGCAACTTTGCATGTGCAGCACACTTTTTCTGTACATTTCTTTGCCGTTGTTTTGCATGACTACAATGTGAAACTTCCAGAAACTTCTTAGTTACACATTTTTCGGAAGAAATGTCGTACGTGTTGTCGTTCCCTTTTTTTCACTGCCGCTCATTTTCACCTTGCATTGGTGGCTGCCAGCATTTCTCATTTTGTCACCTCTGCTACAAACTTTTCTTGTTGTTCTTCCAACTAAAAAGTACCTCCTTTGTTTTTTTTATCTCTCACCCTTTTTCTTGTTCAGGTTTGCTTGCCTGCTGCCTACTTTCTCTTTTCCTCTGTCTTTCTCTTGCTCTATATTCCAAATTTGTGGACGTGACAATTAATCTAAGCTTAATGCTTTACACAACATGGATATAGAAACAGTTTCCGCTTTCCGTTTTTCCTGCCAAAATAACCTTGAGTTGCATTTGGGTTGCCATACCTGTTGGTTGAGTTATTTTACAATGGTATGCCTGTGGTGCAGATGGATGGCGGGTGGTCAGTATACAGTCATGTGATTACCAAATTTTCTGGGATGGGTAGATTTACTTACCCATGGTGCTCTGCTGGCACATGCTTTGCACGTGCGAGAGCTCTGCTATAATCCAATATTCTCTCATTTAACATTCAATATTTAGCGTATTAGTATATAGGAGAATTACTAATCAGATCTTGGGAGTTAAAGTGTAAAATCTACAATCAGTGGCAAAACTTTTGAGAAACTGTCGTGAAATGGGGTATAATTCAGAGAACAAACCAATCTTTACCCCTCCCCCTACCCTTCCCCCATTCAGAGTTGGTTTGTTTGCTGTCTCCTAAAGTTAGTTTTGTTTAGACTAGGTTAGTGGGTGAAGGAGGAAAAGTTTCATGTTTGCATTTTCAACCCTCCAAGTTGGGACCATTCTGGTCGCCATGTGGCGCCTAAAATTTTGGAGCTGGTGACTTGATTTGTAGAAAAGTATCCCTAAACTAAAAGAGTTGGTTGTCAAATGGTGACCAAGCAAAAACTTTAACTTGGAAGGTTGATTTGAAGTAGTTTTGTAGTGTCAACAAAATGTAAGAAAGGTCATTGAGGGCAGAGGTTTTCATTCCAACTAATATTTTGTTGCTAGGTACAGTTGTAGTGGTGGGTGGCTGCATCATTTTTTGTTAATTATGATTTCTCGTGAATTATTAATCAGATGAAATTTGAGGTCATTATTACTGCATGAAATTGCACCATCACACATATGAAAAGCTCCAAAATGATCAGGTAGACCTGTGTGAATTTCTTTGAAAAAATAATTCACTTAGGCATACATGTATGACATTAGAGCCATAGAAAGTAATGTAAAGTTAGTCTTGTTAGTAAGATAAAGTTTACCTTTGTTCTTTTACAGTTATTTTTTGTAGTGGCCTGCTACTTTTAAACTTAACTTCATTATTGTATGTTTTAAAGTCACCACTAGTGATCAGCCAATGGCCTTGTCAGCTTATATTTACATGTATGAAAACTGAATGTGAACCTATATAAAAGTGTGTTCTGATTTTAAAGAGTGTCAAATTTCAGGAAGAAAGCCAATGACACTCAGTGGTGGGAACTGTATGACCAGAAGACTCGTCGCTACTACTATTACAGTGCAGGAACACAAACTACAGTTTGGCATAAACCAAAAGATGCAGAGATTATCCCTCTTGCTAAACTACAGGTATGTGTTAAGTATCATAATGTTTTTTGTATTATTTTCAGTGAAAACACAGTTAGAGGTCCTGTAAGTGGGAGAGTGTTCTTGACTGTGTATGGCAATTACTGCTTTGGGATATAGGTAACTAAAATTTTTACATTGTACTCGCAGTTTGCTTGAGACGTTTAGGGTTTCTGTTAGCAAGAGTGTGCATTGGTTTTGATGAGTCTGACATTTTCGAAAAAAGACATACTTCATGTACTGGTGTTTATATGAGAAAGTGGGCTTTCACCTTGGGATTTCTAGCCAATTCTTTCATTTGTAGGAAGGGTGAAAAGTGACATTTTTTTGGACAATTATTATTTGCAATTCAAGATCTATTTTAATAATTAATGTAAAAACTTCCTCTGAATTTTTTAGATCTTGCAAATTGCATGATCTTGTCCTGTTGGTATTTATAAAGCTGTCAATCAATTTCACAATGGTAATTTTATCGTGCTCTTTTTTTGTGTGCCTTATAAACTAATTAAGAATTTGAAATCAGTAATTATTTGCAAATTCAGTGATTCTGTACTTTGTTCTTCAGTTGAAGTCGATAATCCACCTTCATTGTGTCAAACTTAATTATAATTTTGGTTGTTAACATATTTGTGCTGAAGCTTGTTAATTATTACCATTTTGCAAGCATAATGTCATGTGCTGTCACAAAGAAATGCTAACACTCGTAATATAAAGCCAAAAAGATGTGGTAACAGCAATTTATTTATTGTGTACAAGTATCTCATTTATTGTGGGCAGTGGAGGCTATGTGTTTTTTGGTTAGAGTGGTGGAATTCTTTTTTTGTCGTGAAGTGGTAAATACTGCAATTATAACTATTGTGCACACATACGTACAAAATTCAGTTAAAAGTGTTAATTATTGTCACCTTAGGTTTAGGAGTTGGTGTTGAATATTTTTTGCACCTTAAATCATTATATTTTATTGAAAGTTATTTTTTATTTTCTGAGAGCAAGTTTTAGTTATTAAATATTGGTAAGAAATTGAATTATTTTAAAATGTGACTGAATCTTTGAAGAGGAAATGTGTTTACAGTAGCATATTTATATGTACACATGGTGTCATGAAGTTTTCTTTGGGTGGGTATACGATTGACTGTATTTTGGAATAAACAGATGACTATCCTCTAGAAAATACTTTTTTGATCTTCATCATGTTGTAATATTCAGATGACTGCTTGAGCAAAAAAATTAAGGTGCATGTAACATTCAGTTGGTCCAAATATTATGTTAAAGGTGATTGGTAACAAAACATCTGCACATTGTCTATGATTAATCAAATGCAACCCCTCAAATTTGAAAATATTATGATCATGCAGGAATGAAGCAGTGACTTACATACACGTCGTATTCTTCTGACCCATAACTTAGCTGTATTTACTTGTACTCCTGTCAATGGTGGTTAAATTGCATAAAGCCTGAAAATGCCAAGTTACGATTCTCCCTGAAAAGACATTTCAACTATTTTAAAAGGCCATTTTTATTCGATTTAATGTAGACCCTAAAAGCAAGAGAAAAGAGGCGAGCAGCAAAAGCCAGAGAAGAGAGAAGAGAAGGTTCAAGCCGGCGGGAAAGTTCTGAAAGAAGAAAGAGGGATGGCAGTCTCAGGAAAGATAGCTCAGGAAAACATGATGATGGGAATTTACATCGTTCCCTTTCATCACCTTCCTTACCTCATAGTTCCCTCCCTAGGAGTAGTGCTGCCGTACCTTCATCGTCCCTCTCTTCTCTTTCTTGTTCAAGTTCTCTCGTGTTTTTTGTACTTCGTCTTCAATCAAAGAAATACAGATTAATTTTAAGACAAGCTTTGGATTTTGTCTTTTAATTAGCTAATGATGATTTTTGAAGTTTTAGAGGTGCATCATAAATCAGACGTGATGGGCCTATACAAGTCTGAATCCTTCACAGTGGATCCTTGGTCATATCATATCCTTCTATAATAATTATTTGCCATCAGCTCGCTCGATATAATGAATGTTATTCTTTGTCCAGTAATAGTAATATAATATATTAAAGGGAAGAGAACTTCCATATCATGAAAGCTTGACAGAGAACATTATTATTTTGTTAGTCCCCTGGCCCTTTGTTATATCAAGGTTCCACTGTTACGTGACCGGTTTAATATATTTTTATGTTGGTTTTAACCAAAAAAGATCAATTTACCGTAAATCCTCTATTAAGCCCCCTAGGGGGCTTATTTATTTTAAGCCCATTTGAAGGGTCTTATTTGAGAGGGGGCGGGGGGCTTATTTGATTTAGAAATGACGATGGTATCAGTTCTCGATAAAGAACTAGAACATACAAAGTGGAAAAGCTCAAGTACAAGACCTTTTAGGTCATTGCAGCGAAGGATCAGAATCAATTCTGAACTTCCAGTTGGTAAATAAACCATCCCGGATCAGTCCACAAGAAGTTTTATCGTGATCAGAAACCCATGGGTTTCTGTCGTGATTTAATTATTAATACAGTCTATCATTTATTAGTGAAGAATAATTAGGAGAGGGGAGGGGAGGGGGTTTGATAGAGAGGAGGGGGGGGCTTAATAGAGGATTTACGGTACAACTACAATGCAATTTTCTTCAAGTGATTAACTCATGATCACTCACAGTATTTATGGTTGCATAATATCCTGAAAGCACTGGTTATACACAAGAATGATAGCAATTTTATCATTCCTTTCGTTATATTTTATGCGTTCTTTGTCTTGATTGCCTCTGCAGCATTCAAAGTGGGGCACTGTTTTCAATTGGAATAAGGTGTATTGCAAATCTGGAATCTGGAACTGGGAATATTAAGATACTCATCCATGTTGGTCTTTTCCTCCTTCCTGTTCAGCTAATGAGGGAGTCGTGGGGGGTTTGTGTGAGGTATTCAATAATAATAAATAATTATTATTAACAAGTTGTGAACAATAAAACTGAGATGCTACCGTTTAAATCTCAGCCTTCAAGCTCCTCTACTGCAGTTCCCAAAGAAGCCAGTGTTGTGGAAAATGGAGTGGAGGACAAGCCAGCAAAGGGTGATGCTGAAGATGTAGTTGATACTAACAGTGAAGAGGTAACAACAGCCAATGTGGATGAGGTTGATGCAGAACGCGTAGAGAAAAGAAAGTCCCCTGAACTTCCCCTGCCTGGGATACCCTTACCTGAGCTTCCCGCACCAGAAGCTCCTGCTGCCACACCCAATGTGACATTGCTTAGCATTCAAGATGGAAAGGAGAATGTAACTGATGATGAAGGCCAGCTTACACCATCAGGAACATTGTCAAGAACTGGCACTCTAGATGAGTAAGAAACTTTATGTTAAGTTATATAGTGGTTTAGGAATTCTATTATTAGGCTGTCTTTGGCCCAGCTTCAAAGATTAAGATTAAAAGATGATGGATATAGGTGACCCAGAAGGCATTGTGTGTCCTGACCCCCCTGCTATGGGGCAGATCATGTGACTTTTGGGGAGAGGGAGATTTTATTTTGGGGGAAACAAAGTGGCAAACAAACTTTGAATGAAAACATAATTCTAAATGTGGATTATGTTACATGAATTAGTCACTTTCAACAACAGTCCTGTGAAGGACCTTACTATTATGGACAATCATACAACCTCTAATGACAATTATTTTATATCGCCCTCTTGGAGTAATGGTGGCTTCATACACTGCAAGAAAGTAAGTAATCATCAGTGGCATTTTCCAAAGTATTCGACCACTGCATTGTGCAGTCCAATGTATCCCTATCAAAAGTTTCTAATTCCTTTGAAGCAACTTAACATGAGATTAGTTTGTTAATGATATATGAAATAAATCATATATGAACTGCGGAAATGAAATGAAAATGAAGAAATGATCGTCGCGGTGAACGCAATTTATGTAATTGCGTAAAGAAGCCTGAAAAAAAAAAGAAAAAGAAAATTCAGGACTTCAACGGGGTTTGAACCCGTGACCTCGCGATACCGGTGCGATGCTCTACCAACTGAGCTATGAAGCCACTGACGATGGGAGCACTGAATTTTTTTCAGGCTTCTTTACGCAATTGCATAAATTGCGTTCATTGCGACGATCATTTCTTCATTTTCATGAGATTAGTTTATTAGTTATCATTGGGGTTACTAAAATATGTTTCATTTTTGTGTCCATATGCAGTAGTACTGGAGAGGATCACCTTAGCCCATCAGGGACCATAGAGAGGGCACGACAAGCTGTGGAAAGTGCGTCAAGGACTATTCTGGCAAACAGAGCTGCTGCAGCCTCCTCTCAAACAGAGAGAAAAGAAGATGATTCAGTCTTTATTGAGCGTGGCAGCTTCAAGGGCTCCAGGAAAGGTGCTCATGATAGTCTTTGTCTTGTAATGAGGAGTTTTAAGCAACACTAAAGAGCTTATTTAAAAGTTACAATCTCTGGCAGTGACCATCCCTAGCTGTGCAGAACTAGGACAAATACTGACTGATTTCCTAATGAGCGCCAAAGCTTCTAGGGTGGTCCTGGGGTATGCTCCACCGGGAAATGTCCCCTGGGTTTCAATGAAATCTTGCTCCATATCCAATACAACATGGAAATTAACCTTGATAAAATAATCAGCTGATTTGCAAGGTTTCATCTGAGGAGAATGGAACAGGCCGATATCCTGTAAATAATTTGTTTTGACTCCACAGGCCACAGGGAGAGTTTGGATGATTCTTTGAGTCTAAAACTGAGAGCAGGAGGCATGCCTGCCACTACAGCTCGTTTAGTCGAGGCATGCGCACCGCCTTCCTTGAATGACAGTCTGCCAAGTATTCGCTCTCTGCGGCATCAGAGACAAGTGAGTGACAGTGTTCTGAAAGATCTTAGGATTGATGATGATGATGATGATGACTTGGATACAAAATCCCTTGGGACACCGAGCACTTTGCCACGACTAAGCCGACCTTCCTCCATTGCTACTCCGGCCACAGGCTCTTCAAAGCACAGTACCTTGGTAAGTGGCTTGCATTGTGTCTTGGTATTAATGTAAACCGTTGAAGTTCGTTGAGACTAACCCTTGTTGATGTAACAAGTAGCTGCTTTCATTTGGAATTTAATTTGCCTTATTATAGGCAGCTCACAATCACACGAATTTCTTAACGCAAAGTTTATGAGATAAGTTTATCAAAAGTATTCTACCAGCAATGGAATAAGCATGAGAACTGAATTAGGTAGAGCGTTGGTATGTCTGCAAAATTACAAGGGTTTGTGTGAAAAAAAAAAAACTGGACCGTTAGAGGTGCGGTCCAGTGCCTTTTTCCATTGCTACCTAGAGTCTTATTTTTCTCCATTATTCAAACCGTAATATTGCGACATGATTTGGCTTTTTTCCTATGTACATCTGCCCCCTCCCCTCAAATTATTTTTTGTTGGGAGGTGGTGACTGTACACGGGCTTATCAAACCCGTCTGTGAATATATTTCAGCTCTTCATGACAAGGTGAAGGTGATGATGACCCTTTAGTAATTCTGTTTCTCAGTATTACTGGCAGTTAGCTGCAATTTGACTTGATATGTTTCTGTTCGTTTCCCTGTTTCTACCAGGAACGTTCTCATTCCATCCCAGGCTCCAAGCCACCTTTGATGAGAGCACTAGGTGCTTATGAAGAATACTTTAGTCATCACAAGAAAGGCGTTTTCAGACGAAAGAGAATCTCTTTAGCGAGCATGCTCTCCTGGTCAAAGGTACTAAGTGACTTTTGAGTCCCTGAGTAATCAACCCAGACATATATCGTGTCAACATTTGACTCTGGATTAAAACCCTGTATAAAAGAGTTAAGCCCCCCAGGTCGACGAACAAAAATATAACGACAAGTAGTGTCTGGGTTCTGAGAAACTGCCCACCTACTCCTCCCCTAAGCCAAAATTTACACTTTCCTCTTACTTAGGGTAAAATGTTTGCTTAGGGGAGAGGGAGGTGGGCATTTTCGTAGGAACCTAAATTGATCCCAACGATTGTTAGCCTCCCACGCAGACGTTCTTTGTGCTTCGTCACGCGTTCCTCCCCTACCCCCCCCCCCCCCCANGGTCAAAGGTACTAAGTGACTTTTGAGTCCCTGAGTAATCAACCCAGACATATATCGTGTCAACATTTGACTCTGGATTAAAACCCTGTATAAAAGAGTTAAGCCCCCCAGGTCGACGAACAAAAATATAACGACAAGTAGTGTCTGGGTTCTGAGAAACTGCCCACCTACTCCTCCCCTAAGCCAAAATTTACACTTTCCTCTTACTTAGGGTGAAATGTTTGCTTAGGGGAGAGGGAGGTGGGCATTTTCGTAGGAACCTAAATTGATCCCAACGATTGTTAGCCTCCCACGCAGACGTTCTTTGTGCTTCGTCATGCGTTCCTCCCCTACCCCCCCCCCCACGAATTCATTTTGCACGGCTTTACTTGCAAATATTTAATGCCTCTTGTGATTTTATCAGGTGCCTATCAAGAAACCGCTGATTTTGATCCAAGACAGACAAATGAAAAAGGATGCAATCGACATGTTTAAATTAATTCTCGGCTACATGGGAGATCGAACAATCAAGGGGAAAAGTCCGGAGAAACTGGCTTTGGAACTCACTACCAAGGGCTGGGGTACACCTGTGCTGAGAGATGAGATTTACCTGCAACTGTGTAAACAGACAACCGACAACTTTAGACCGTGAGTAGACTTGTGACAAGTCGAGATGCCAAGTTAGGAAAAACGTGAAGATCGTCGGGATGAAGCACTTACCCTTACGGGCGGCCATCTTATCAGAAATGTACCGAGTCTACCCTGGGGATGAGCATGAAATCCGGGGGGGATACTTGAGTTAATTTTTGTTGGGTATGTGCCGCTGGCCTCTCAGAGCCCCTACCCCATTATAGTCTATTCTGTGGCCAATTATAGACCCCATCTTAGTCACTTTTCGGCAAATATGTAATTTTCGCGATCCCAACTTAGTCACTTTCTATTTATGTATCTACATTATCAATCCTTTAAGTAGGTCATCATAAAATGAATTGACCCATTTTTTACATTGAATGAAGAACATTTTACTTTTCATTTACAGTACAAACATTCTGATATGTTTGCTAACTGTAAATGTGAAGAACCTTCTCACCCCGAAAATCAGCCTGAGAAAATGTGCGACCCCATTCTAGTAACTCTATTCAAAATGCGACCCCCTTATAGTCAATCCAGTCGTGAAAATGCGAACCCATCCAACGGCACAAGGCCTCTTATAAGGAAGTACCCCCAGGGTATCAAATCTATTTAGGGATGAGGGGGATCTCTATTTTTTCTTTTTTGTCCTTCTTGACCCCTTTGCACAAGCCAACAGCGTTTGCACATGCTCTGCTCTGATGTCTTAAAAATCGCTCTCGCACGCTCTGATTGTCACACCTTTACCGAGTTGATCAGGCTGGGCGAGCCAAACTGTTTATAATAATGGAGGCAAGTCGGCCTGGCTAGGAGGGTGACTCTATCATCACAAAAAGGTGACCCGACTAGTCTGAGGTCTCTGAAATTATACCGTGAACTGTGTATGTATAGGCGAATCTTTGCTGACGTCATTTTTTAGAAGGCGTCAGCGTATGCACCAATTAAATTCAAACGTTGACAGAGTTTGTTAGCCTGCGAAAGCATCCGTTTCTCCTCGCTCTTCGCCGCTGGGGACGTTTCGCGCGAAACGTCCCCAGCGGCGAAGAGCGAGGAGAAACGGATGTTTCCGCAGACTAAGAGTTTGTTAACTTGAACAATTTGTGCAATTTTCAGCTTTTTACAAGCAATAACAAAAGAAATAGCTGTCATCGAAACTGCGAAATTGCTGGGTGGCATAACATTAATGAGCCCATACATTTTTGGTTAAGTTTCCAGTTTTTCAAAGATAATCATTCCGAAACTTTTCAGTCTATCGAGCTCAAATTTTCATAGATAACAGAAATTGTTATGCTCTTTCGATATTCAGAGAGTTTATTTTAATAGCTTGATCAGAGTATGAAACGCTTATGCTAACGAGGCAAAGAATGTAAACAAAGATTCGCCTATTGTACTACATCTAGTAAGGTACATCTTGACAAAGTGGTCGTTTAATACAGGTGGTGGCCATGGTCCGTTGTAGTAGTGTAGTGGTAAGGGAGAGAGATTAAATTAGCGTACGAAAGGTGTGGTTCGATTGTTTCTTTCTTCTTAGTAGAAACATTTTCATTGACAGTTCAAAAATTAAGAAATAGGCCTTTCAAAAATGGCAGGACTGTCTACGAACGGAAAATTTCCGGCGCCTTCTTAGTACTTAGCTAAGCTCCCTAATCTTTATAACATTGCATTTGTTCCTGTTTTCAGCGACAGCCTACGATGTGGTTGGGAGCTCATGGCAATATGCCTCGCTCTTTTTCCTCCTTCCACCAAATTCCACTCATATTTAGAGGGCTACATTAATAAGAACCTTGAAGACTCCGACTGGAAAGATGTAAGTTGTTTTTATTGTTTGATTTGCATTTTTGGGGCTAGACACTTAAGGTAACTTTCACGTAACGTCGTACTCTCGAGGTAGATTAATGGTCTTTTAGACTTTCCATAGGTAAACCTAATAGGCCTTTTTAAAAAATATCATACTTTTTGTTTTCCCCAAAAAATTTTGCGTAAAAATAGTTTGCAATTTCTCTTGGGACTTACAATTGTGGAAAAAAATGATTATGCAAAATTTTGGAGGAAAAGCAAAGAGTATTATGGTCTTTTGTCGAAGACTCTAGTTTTAAGGTTATGTTCTACCCTGTGCCAGGCTCTCGGTCTTTGTAGATGAGCGAAAAAAGCGCAAAGTAGCGAAAAAGCGAGCCAGCGAAAAACGGCGTTAACCGTCTCTCCCCAGTCCTCACGCGGTTTTTCGCACCTTTTTTCGATCTCTTTCGCCCACTATCTAGGAGCCTTGAACAGGCTAGTTATGCCCACCCTGACGTATACAGACTTGAACGTTTACCACTGTCAAGAGAAGAATACAATCGACTCCCGATAACTCGAACCTTCAAGGGAAATCGAAAAAAGGTCGAGTTATCGGGAGTTCGAGTTATCGGGAGCTTTAAGAAAATAGCCGAGAGTAAGGTAAAAAACAGTTTTTACTGCACAGTGAACATTTTAATCACATTTAATTGTAGAAATGTCAAGTGGAAATTAAAATCAGAATTAAATCAGAACGTAACGTAACAAACCATAGCCTAAAGAGAGCATGCGTTTTACTGTTTTGAGAAGTAAAGCTACTTCACGTTAGCCTGTGACAATCAATATCAGCCTCCACNTCATGGCAATATGCCTCGCTCTTTTTCCTCCTTCCACCAAATTCCACTCATATTTAGAGGGCTACATTAATAAGAACCTTGAAGACTCCGACTGGAAAGATGTAAGTTGTTTTTATTGTTTGATTTGCATTTGCACACTTAGGTAACTTTCACGTAACTTCGCACTCTCGTGGAAGATTAATGGTCTTTTAGACTTTCCATGGCTAAACCTAATAGGCCTTTTAAAAAATTTTCATACTCTTTGTTTTCCCCAAAAAAGTTTGGGTAAAAATAGTTTGCAATTACTCTTGGGACTTACAATTGTGCAAGAGAAATTGAAAAAAATGTTAATGCAAAATTTTGGAGGGAAAACAAAGAGTATTATGGTCTTTTGTCGAAGACTTTAGTTTTAAGGTTATGTTCTACCCTGTGCCAGGCTCTCGGTCTTTGAAGATGAGCGAAAAAAGGGCAAAAGCAGCGTAAAAGCGAGCCAGCGAAAAACAGCGGGAACTGTCTCTCCCCAGTCCTCACGCGGTTTTTCGCACCTTTATTCGATCTCTTTCGCCCATTATCTTGGAGCCTTGAACAGGCTAGTTATGCCCACTCTGACGCATACAGACTTGAACGTTTACCACTGTCAAGAGAAGAATACAGTCGACTCCCGATAACTCCAACCTTCAAGGAAAATCGAAAAAAGTTCGAGTTATCGTGAGCTCGAAGAAAATAGCCGGGAGTAAGGTAAAAAACAGTTTTTACTGCACAGTGAATATTTTAATCACATTTAATTGTAGAAATGTGAAGTGGAAATTAAAATCAGAATTAAATCGGAACGTAACGTAACAAACCATAGCCTAAAGAGAGCATGCGTTGTATCCGTCTATAAACTATAATGAAATCGTGTGGAAAGGGTAGCCCTTGAAAGCGTTCTCTTAGTAAAATGACACTTTTTCCAACTCTAAATTCTGCTCCTCAGCTACAATGTGTAGGTAAAAAGTTTCTTTAGTATTGACGTAATTGTAAGTGTTACTCTGAACTTTTCTTTGTTTTAGATTCCCGTAACCCAGTACGCCAGCCATTGTTCGGTGAGACTTAAACGAATCGCCAGAACTGGGGCAAAGAGAGGGCTCCGGAAACCAAGCGTAGACGACATTAAGCAAGCTAAGGTAAGTCGCTGAATCGCTCTTCACAATGCAGTTGTTGTTACCTATTTATTTATTTATTTATTTATTTGACATTTCAAATTATACAAGAGAGACATTATGATTCACGCTTACCGCAAACGGCAAACGTCAGACTCAAGTTGAGAATTTCTCAGAATAGAAAAAAGCAGATAAAAACATTCCCGAACGTTTCCTATGGTTAAAACTGGAATAAAACTACTTATTTTTGTGTGGAAGCAATAAACAGTAAACGGAAAATAAGGGGAAGACTTGGTCACGTGGTACAAATTCACGTCTGCCGTTTGGCGTAAACGTGATTCTTAATATCTCTAATGATAAATAAAAAATGTGACACAACATTTTAAGCTTTGAAGACTTTTTTTGGGACTCTTCAGTATCCAGTTTACCATACTGTAGTTTCCCAAATATGTCTTCAAAACTTTAATGCTCCGTCATGTTTTTTAAATAAATAATTTAATACCTACAGTGCTTTACTGTACGTAATTCGCGCGCGAGCGTCGAACGGCTCGGTCCCTCACCTGTGATAATTTTCTTGTCTCCTAGTCTAGGTAATTTCGTTAACATTTCTTTCTTTATTTATTTACCTGTGAAAAATAGTACTGAAGTCTAACTGGTCGAAGGGCGAAGATAGAACAGACTTCGAGAGTTCACCTTGTAATTGTTAGATTGCAAATATAAGAGCACTTTCTGTTTGGTTTTAATAACATACATAGCATATTTTGTGTGGCACAGGCAATGATAACAGCAACATGAACTCAAATGTACTTCCTCAGGGTTGACTTACAGCAATTCAAGACGAGAACAAAACCAAGGCTTTCGTTATCCAACAGCTTAAGCTTATTCGGTCTTATTGCCGTTTCTTGTTTACAGTCCTCAGTGTTTCAACTGTCCATGTTTGGCTCCACTCTCGACGAAATCATGGAAGCGCAAGCAAAGCAATTTCCTTCACTTAAGCTACCCTGGATTTTACCCACCCTCGCTGAGTCAGTTCTGCAGCACCAAGGCGCATCAACGGAGGGCATCTTTAGGTAGGCCACAGTACCCTAGTTGTGATCGAGAAACGTCAAAGCTACTTCCATATTTACTCGATAAAACGCGGTAGTCGGAAGCAAAATTACGAATAAACGCCGCACTCAATCAGAAGAATTCGACTTTAATTCGAGGATTATAAGAAAAATGAAAAACGAAAAAAAAAAAGATAATAAAAGCAACAACTACAAGAATGACAAATACCGTAAACTGCTTCTTGTAAGCCCCCCTCCTATCTAATTGTAAACAAAAAATTACATCCGATTATTGGATTATTAGACCCCCCCTCCCCCCCCGGATGTAGGCGCCCCTCCAGCTTGTATTGAAATGAATTCTATTTATGAAGTTTTTTTCGCCTAATTTAAAACCACTAAATGCAAAACTTACGTCGATCAGCACTGCCATAACTTGTTTGAGCGCTTTTTTTAGTCCGATATAAGCCCCCTCGTTTATAAGCCTGCCTAAAACCCCCTATGAAGATGTATAAGCCAGGGCTCGTATGCGGCAGTTTACGGTATCCTGAGTGGCGTAACTGTAGTCGTTAATCATTAATGTCCCTCTCTGTTTCAGGGTCCCGGGGGATATCGATGAGGTGAACTGTCAGAAACTTAAACTGGACAGATGGGAAGTACCGACAGATTTTGCCGACCCTTTTGTGCCGGCTTCACTTCTCAAACTTTGGTTCAGGGAACTTCACGAACCTCTTATACCGGAACGTTTTTAATATCCTTTTTAAAAACCAGTTAACGTGAAGTCGGGGTGGTGGGTGGGGGGTAGTAGTAGTCTGGCGTTCAACAGAGTGACTACATGAAAGCGTGGCGGTTTGACGACCAAGCCATGGCAGGGGTAGCATGTTCGCAGGCTATTGCAGGCATGAGACTGTTTTGGAGGACGAATTTGGACCCAGTTTCCTTCGCAATTTTACAATAGCTCCCCAAAACAGTCCCATAGTGCATTTCGGTACATTTCCTTTGCCGTTTGGATATGGTTCTTCAACGGTTCTTGGGAATTCAAATCCAGGAGAGTTCTCGTACGTTTGGCAAAGTGAGTGAGTTGGAATAATCGTGAAGAAGATTGAAAGGACGCGAATTCACTTTTATTAAGCGACCTTTCGCCACCGTCGCCGCCCCCTTGGATTTTTAGGTCCCTAATGAGTGTGCGCAGACCACAGTTCTTTGGGAGATTGTTATACTTGGTTATAATTGTCACCACTTGGAAAACTCAGATATCATTTCCTTAACTCCTCTCCACTGATAAATGTGTTAACAACTGCGACAACCCAACAGTAGCTGTGGCGCTTGTGATGGCTCTTCCTGAAGTCAACAGACTTGTACTCTCTTACCTCATAAGATTTCTACAGGTATGAGTTCATGTATCAGTCATCTGTGAACCGGCCTGCAGAACAGGCGTTACTGTTTAGTGTTTTTCAGGCTAGAAAAAGACCGAATTCTGGTGTCTAAGAAGGAGATATCCAGACTTACTCTTGCAAAATTTGGAGGATTTTATTTCTGATTGTTATCATTATTTTAGTACTTTTTTAACGGTTTAAGGGAAGTCATGTAGTGCTCGCACCCGAGGGGTGGGAGGGGGTGGGGGCTACTGAACAAAAATCTATACGGGTAGGCTCTGACCATCTCTAACCCTTTCTCCATTCTATAAACTATTTTTGACAGAAAAACTACCACTTTTGCATACCTTCCATTAAGAAATGTTACCCCTTTAACATACCTTCTGAATAAGAATTGATCGTTAAATACAGGCTTTTGATTTTCTTTTAACGTTTAATAAATTAAAATGATATAGCCATCTGATTCGGCGAGTCTTTCGAAACATTTTGATCAAAGGACCTTTTCAATACCTATACTTCCACTTGTGTAATTCCGACCTGAGGCGTGAGAAAAGGTACTCCTTTCTGGCGGAGCCTCCCCGTATAGGCCATTATAGGGAGCGCGCCCCTGATGGGTGTTTGTAGAACATTTTCATTGACTATTTTCCAATTGCCCATAATACACTCTGTTTGCCCCCCAAATTTTGCATAACTTATTGTCTTAAAATGCTCTTGGGAAAATGCAATACTCCCAGGAGCATTTAAAAACAATGGTTTATGCAAAACAGAGTGTATTATGGGCAATTGGAAAATAGAGAATTAAAAGATGACCGAGCTATGATTAATTATAGTTTATTTTCTCTCTTTTATCACCAGATATTTTCCCTTCCCAACAATAGCACTGTCACGAAGATGGATGTTAATAACTTGTCGATGGTTTGGGCGCCAAATTGTCTTCGCTGTCCGTCAGATGACCCTAAAGAAATTTTTGAGAACACACGAAAAGAAATGACATTTATGCGAACTCTCCTACGAAGCCTGGATACTACTTTCATGGAAGGAGTCCGCTGACAGTTGGCTATGACAGGACCAACAGCATCCAGGAGTTGTAATTCCAAGAACACAATCTTCGCCGATGACAAATCGCCCATAGTTGGAATGCCAGCATCTTTCCCGCTGTATTCAGTGCAAAAAAATAGCAAAATTTCCCGATTTTGATACTTATTTGCTTTCAATTTGGAAAGGACAGCAAATGCGTTTAGGTCAGATAGGCTGAAAGCTTGGGTTTCCCGTCACTAACCGTGTGTCGTCGTGGTGAAATTAAAGAAACAGAACTATTCTATCTATAATATTGTACATAGCTATAAATAAAGGTTCAATATCAATTGTACATGCTTTGTTTGGTTTATTCTGTCAACTGTTTTCTGCTGTATTGTAAAATTTAAATAAGGTTGCTCTGATGTTGAAATACAATTTCGTGAGGTCCTTCCTTCTTAAGTTACTATGAAAACGTACTGCACGCTCCAGTGGATAACGCTATCCACTTGATACTGGAATCTCTATCCAGTGGATAGCGCAACTGGTTTCCCTAACTCCCATCTGCTGGATAGTGATTTATCAGGTGGATAGCGCCGTCCAAAGTTTCAACAACCGGGGCCAGATCTCGTAACCTGTGCGATCTTGTTTCCAGAAAGACTCGATCTCCTGTTCCCCTGTGAAAGGATAACAGAGGCTCTGGACGGGGCTTCGTTGAAATTGTTGCTACTCGAAAAAGCGATTAGCCAAACATCTTGGTCATGTTGCATTTAAGACACCTCAAGAAAATAATGATTTAAGTGGAAACAGCAGAGGTCCTCTGAGTCATTGATCGCCAACTGAATACTAGAGGACATTTACACGAGGTCTTAGTTTTCGTAATCAATTTCGAAGGCTAATTATAAAAAGTATGACCCTACAGGATAACTGGCAATGGGTCTTGGCTTTTTTGGCTTAGCTAGTCTTTCCACAGTAACTGTTTGCACATTTATTTTTGCATAAAACCTCTCGAGCCGTTTCGCTCGTGGGTGTCTTTAAAACCTTCAGCAAAAGGAGCTACCTGACCACATGTGTTGCCATTTACATAGACAGAAAACACCTAAGTGACGTTTTGGTCACTAAACACTATCAGGCCCCTGACACTATAAAGTAACCTGACTGAAAGTCACAGTTGTTTTCTGGATTGTCAAATGCTCTGTAATTCCAAAAGTCTCGCCTACTTCACATATTGTTTTGAACCAATTGCTAACTTTGGACTTGTAATAGCATTCAAGTGCCACTGGAGCCGTGAATGAAAATAAAGTGTGATTAAAGCCGTCCTTCTCTTTACACCCAGCTTCAACAAGATTGTAATAACTCGCAGGTAATCGAGCATGGAGGGCAGAAGGTGCTGCCTTAAATGTCAGCGTGTACCGATTAAGGGGTACCATACTAAGACAGTTATAAAGGTCGCCAGCTCGATCGCACCAGTAGATCACAGGATACCCAAGAAGAAAACCAAATATGCTTGGTACGCACCAGTTATCGTCACCGTAATTGCTTAGGTTTATAACTCGTGAATCTGGAACTACAAGTTCACCCCTCTGCGTAAACTCTTTGTAGTTCTCTTCTAAGTCTTCTACTATTCTGTGAAACTGTCGTTTAACACTGTCCGCTAAATCTTTTTCCAAAATACGTGGTTCATGAAGTTTCCCAGAGATATCGATCAGAGTAAACTCCTCCATGTCGACACTTTCCCTTAATCTTTTGACTAAGAGTCTCAAATCAGCATAAAATATATCCTCATCGACTTTCAAAACGTACAAGAGCGGCGAAAAGTCAGTAAAGCTTGAAGTTTTCGTTGCGAGTCCCGCTATTAACCTGATCGCATTTTTCCATTCAACGGCCGCATAATCAAAGAGTAATGATGGCTTGAGGCCAAGAAATATGGCTACGATATCCAGGAGAAAAGATCTATAACATTTACTTGATAGTTTGCCTAGGGATTTCTGGAATATGCTCTTCCATTCTTTGGCACAGGCGTCCGCCATATTGAAATACTCAGTCTGGCTCGATCCAGGCTTCCCGTCCAGATTAGGAAAATTCCGGTTAATACCCCTACGATTACCCTTCGTGCAAAATTGCACTACGGGCTGCAGGGGTTAGGGGGTGGAGACGTATGACATTTCAGACTACACTACGAGGTCTTACGTGGGCTTATAAGTGGGGCGAAAGACCAAATAGCAGTATGGTTTATGGTACTAATGAGCAGGTACAGGTTATGGGCTCCTGGCTGGTACTGATAAATTTGACACGAAAGAACCAAGTACAGTACTATTTTGACCTTTTCAGCACCAAGACTGATCAACATCAATTCTCTCCTAACAATGTCAATACAGAATCAGGAGAAAAGGTTATGAGAATTATTGATATGAACACCCAAGGGAAAATGCTTTTTTCGCGAAAATGTATTGAGATCACCCAGGGGGATTCCCATATGAAGGGAGCCTCCCCCCCGGGTGACATCACTTTAGAGAATTTGTATCTGGATATTGGACCATATTATTAAAGCCGCATTACTTAACCTTTTGTGTCTTCTATGAATGTTTTGTTCGTAAATAGTTGTAGCTCTTAGTCATCAAACTATAATAACATGTTATAGCCTAGCGTGCGAACACAGATATTTTCAGTCCAATCGGAAGCACTAACCATATCTGGGTGGTAACTCGTCATCAGTATGGAATTTCTGAGCTCATTCCTCAGAAGTCATTTCGCGGGAAAGGGCCAACGGTGGCGCCGCGAAATGTCGCCTGTTTTTTCTCAGGCTTAACATGTGCTAGACCGCATGATGGGTACATTCAGGAAGGGTGAAGGGTGGTCTGGATGCCCAAGATTCACTCCTCCCCCCCTCCGCCCCCTTCGTCCCTGGATCCGCAACGTATTTTTTATAATAATAATAATAATAATAATAATAATAATAATAATAATAATAATAATAATAATAATAATAATAATAATAATAATAATAACAATAACAACAATCTTTATACAGGGAGCTCACGTCACAAAGAGTGATATTCAGTGAGGCCTTTAAAACAATAGAAAAGTAAATGATATAAGAGAAATGAATACGTAATAGTAACAATGAGTAAAAAGTGAAGAACTAAAACCTAAATTACTCATAAAGAATAACCAGTTCCAGGAGTTAAGATTGTGGGGACCTGCACAAAGAGATGTGAGCAGGAAATTCAGCGAAGGGGTGGGGAGGAAATAGAGAGTTAAACCAAATTTTCCTTTCACCTCAATATTTCATGACACTCTCTCAGGAGCGGCCGCCCTCTATAATGCGGCCAGTAATCAAAGTCCCGAAATAACTGTGGAAAAGAATGGGAACTTTAACCCCTGTAAACCTCTACTTACCGACCGCCTCCACCTTTTGGCAGTACCAATGAGAGCTCTCTCATTGTTGTTGTCACCTCCACTAAGCGGCCATCAAGCCCTTGATACATTTAGTTTGGCTTTATTTCGAGAATATGGTGAAGGAAAACACAGTCCGAGATAGAAGGCGACGACCGATTTTGAGCATGTCGGGTGTTTGTTTCAAAAAAGCGAGGCTAAGTTGACATGAAAATGAGTGTTTTTTAAGCCCATGCAATTGAAACTCATTTTTACAAGAAAGGTTTTGGACGTAGCTTCGTGAGAGGTTTTGGAACTCGCAAATGTCCTATTTGTCCTAGGTCTCTCCAGTCCCTTTTCTTTTATTGGGCTTTGGTGGTACTGAATAAGATTTGCATTTCTAGGAAAACATAGCTGATTGGCGGAGGTGACTCTAGTAATGAGGTTATAACCACGTGTTTTCCAATGTTTGTTTACATTCGCGCTCGTTTCCACTCCGCGCTGACAGCTCAGACGACGGGCCACGGGAGAATTGGAGGTGGAATCGTAGTTCCAAACTCTCCTTCCTTTTCCTGCCCCGCCGCCAGAGCGCCCCGGAGAGCTTGCTCGCAGGCTAAGGAAAACAAAAAAGACAAGAAATAGAAACCACAACTTGTTGGCCAACACTTTTATTCACACCTAAAATACAGTGTTGAAAACTGATTGAAACAAATTTCTCTTCTAGGGGAAAAATGAAAAAAGAACAAACCATTGAACTAGTTAATTGTCTAAGTGTGGCTCAAAATAAATCACCATGAAATTTCCAGGGAAAAAATACTTACGAGTAGAACAATCAGGTGACCTGACATAAATCTAGCTAGGCATGGACAATCATTGCAAAATGAATTTGAGGAACACAATGAGCTACTAAATGTCATAATTCAAAGGCACGCTTTACCTCAACTGACTGAAGCTGCAAACTTGAAAACAATAACAACAGGTTTAACCTGTCATTATTCCAGGTTGTGTGACCAAGTTTCCGACCAGCAGAAACTGTCACATTATCATTCTAATACTATCATTTTTAAACCACTCAAGCAACAATCAGTTAAAGGATTAAGCGACTCTAAGGAGCATTTAACTTAAACCAGAGGAGTTTTGCTTAAATTAATTAAAGAGAAACTTCTGACGCCTTTATCGAATGTAGTTGTCTTGTCATTTAAACACTCCAAGCCTTATTATTACATCTATTCAAAAGAATACTCTTTTCATTGTTTTGCACACTGATCCTAAGGTAAAAAAACTTTGGCGATCATTTGTTCTATGTCCTTAACCTTTTCAGCCCTAATTTACATATATGAATTCTCCAACCTGAACTCCTTCCACTTCCGTCAAAAATTACTTGAGAACTTGATTAAGGATCAAAGCATTTTCTCTATTGTGATCATTTTATTAATCCTCAGTGAACTTGATGATCACAATGTGTTCATAGTATTGTTGGGAGAAAATTGATGTACATCACTTTTGGGACTTAACTATAACAGGGCTTAAAGTTTTTAAAACTCTCAAAATCCTATAATACTACAGTAGCTGTTGTGTTACTGTTATAACAGGATGCTACTCACTAAGCTGGATAAGCTTAAAGAGTTAAGGCTGGAAACTTGTCCCCTTATGTGAACTGAATGAGCATCTGAGCTATTTTGCCCCCATTCATAATGCACAAATTCAAACCAGTTGAACTTCATGCGCTATGTTGTGAGGTACAAACTGTTTTCTCCATAACAGGATTATTGCATAACACACTTGGGTAATGAAACATTGACAGGAATTGTTCTTCCAACATGCCCCCCCCCCCCTGCCCCTGTATGCCCTGGGGTTAAAACAAAGTTGTCAGCCCAAAACATCTGCAATAGAAGCTAACAGAACGTTACATCAAAGTCAACACTCAAATTAGGCAACTTATTCTACCGTTCTTTTTTTTTTAATTTCAAGCACACCCGTAACTAATGCTATCATCAATAAATAAATACTGTAAGTTGAGTTAGCATTGAGTAAGCAACATGAATATTAGTTTGAGTCAATTAGTGATTAAACATTGATTTGCTACTTGTAATATCTTCAATGATAATCACAATAATCTTTAACCAAAAAGTCAAAATAAACATGTGAAACAAAATATAGTTTCATTAACTATACACCATCTACAGCCAGAGAATGAAGTGTATTGTGAAGTTTATAGTGTATTATTTTGTCAATTTCATGTAATATAGGCATTTGACAAATGATAATTGAGAAAAGTTATACCATCAATATTATATTGGAAGTAAAATTACATTGTATTCTAAAGCACACCATGTCCAGAAAAAAAGACATTATAAAGTAATTAATTTGTGTTGTCTACTTTTTGGATATGCTCAGTAATACAATACCACTGCCACTGTCATATCATTATTTGACCAATGAGTTACATCTAATTCAAGGTGAATCTTCCTACAAGGCAATCCATGCTCCATATCATTTAAGCTACCGTATACTTTCTTATCCAAAATCTGTACTAGGATTTCAGTGAATTAAAATTTGTTCGCAACAGGAAGCTCTATATTTTGGCCTGACCACAAAAAGTTGGAAATTATACTGCCAAAAACCTGCAAGCTTCGTGTGTAGCAATTAAAGTATGACTGGATTCACTAAATTTAACAGCATGTAATTGATGACAAAACAGAGCTATAAGATTATACATCTCCTCTTCTTCTTGATCTTAGGAAGTGGTTTCTTTCCTTTCNCCTGCCCCTGTATGACCTGGGGTTAAAACAAAGTTGTCAGTCCAAAACATCTGCAATAGAAGCTAACAGAAGGTTACATCAAAGTCAACACTCAAATTAGGCAACTTATTCTACCGTTCCTTTTTTTTTAATTTCAAGCACACCCATAACTAATGCTATCATCAATAAATAAATACTGTAAGTTGAGTTAGCATTGAGTAAGCAATATGAATATTAGTTTGAGTCAATTAGTGATTAAACATTGATTTGCTACTTGTAATATCTTCAATGATAATCACAATAATCTTTAACCAAAAAGTCAAAATAAACATGTGAAACAAAATATAGTTTCATTAACTATACACCATCTACAGCCAGAGAATGAAGTGTATTGTGAAGTTTATAGTGTATTATTTTGTCAATTTCATGTAATATAGGCATTTGACAAATGATAATTGAGAAAAGTTATACCATCAATATTATATTGGAAGTAAAATTACATTGTATTCTAAAGCACACCATGTCCAGAAAAAAAGACATTATAAAGTAATTAATTTGTGTTGTCTACTTTTTGGATATGCTCAGTAATACAATACCACTGCCACTGTCATATCATTATTTGACCAATGAGTTACATCTAATTCAAGGTGAATCTTCCTACAAGGCAATCCATGCTCCATATCATTTAAGCTACCGTATACTTTCTTATCCAAAATCTGTACTAGGATTTCAGTGAATTAAAATTTGTTCGCAACAGGAAGCTCTATATTTTGGCCTGACCACAAAAAGTTGGAAATTATACTGCCAAAAACCTGCAAGCTTCGTGTGTAGCAATTAAAGTATGACTGGATTCACTAAATTTAACAGCATGTAATTGATGACAAAACAGAGCTATAAGATTATACATCTCCTCTTCTTCTTGATCTTAGGAAGTGGTTTCTTTCCTTTCTATTAAATAAAAGAAAAAAAGATAAATTGAGAAGTAATGTAAAGATGTTTCTTAACTTTGTTTAAGCACAAGGATATAAATTATTAATATTAGTGTTTTTCTTTGACTGATTTAACTTCATACTGTTTAACATTTTCCAAGGTAAAAATAAAAACAGAAAAAATCAGACAACCATAAACAGTAGAAATATTTTTCTGGAATGGTATTTTGTTCCAAGAAAAATGCCAAACAGGCTTGTGAAAACTATACCACAAGCAACAATGGTAATTACATGTACTGTCGAACCCCGCTATTTCGAAGTCCCAAGGGAAATAGAAAAAAAGTTTGAAATAGCGGGGTTTTGAAATAACCGGGGAAGCGTAAAGGGGAAGGGTAAATCCAAGGGAATTCGATCTTCCTTCGAAATAGCGGGGACTTCGAATTAACCGAGTTCGAAATAGCGGGGTTCGACTGTAGTTAGTGATTTTGTGGCTTGCTCACACGTTCCGATCATTGCTGTGATTAATCATAATGTCTCAGTAGTCAAAGTTTTCTTAGTTTGACAGTAATACATCATTTGATTTGAAACTGTAGCACTTAAAATATACTACATATAATGAGGGAGAATAAGGTAACCACAGTCTTATGAAACCTGTATCAGGGTTTTCATTATATATAACCCTAGTAGCAGGAGAAAGGTGTAATGTTTACAGGAGAAAATTATTTTTGAAAGAGGCTCCACCTCTAAATAAAAAATACTGGCGTCAGTTTAGGTCTCTGGGAAACTGCCCACCTACCCCTCCCCTAAGCTAACATTAACACAAGTTTACTTCTCACTTAGGGCAAAATGTTGGTTTAAGGGAGGGGTAGGTGGACAGTTTCCCGAAACCAAAATTGATCTAAATACTGTAAGGTAGAACCTTGATAACTCTAACTAAATTTCCTTTCCCTTGATCAAAATTTCATTGAAATTTATCCCAATGACTCGAATAGCCCTTTCTACTAATAATGTCACAAATTTCTGCTCCCTGCTGTGACTCAGACTTAAACCTGACCAGCCTAGGAGTTTAGTATGGGAAGTCACATTCGGCAACAAATTTTCATCATCTTTGAAGATGTTCATCGTTAAAGGAAACAAAATCCAGCTTGGTTTCGACAATAAATATCCTGAGAATAATCAACGTGTGCCAAGACAGCATTAAACATGGAAAAAACGGTACAGATGAATGGTTTTATTTCTTATGCGGCATNCCTTGATCAAAATTTCATTGAAATTTATCCCAATGACTCGAATAGCCCTTTCTACTAATAATGTCACAAATTTCTGCTCCCTGCTGTGACTCAGACTTAAACCTGACCAGCCTAGGAGTTTAGTATGGGAAAGTCACATTCAGCAACAAATTTTCGTCATCTTTGAAGATGTTCATCGTTAAAGGAAACAAAATCCAGCTTGGTTTCGACAATAAATATCCTGAGAATAATCAACGTGTGCCAAGACAGCATTAAACATGGAAAAAACTGTACAGATGAATGGTTTTATTTCTTATGCGGCATCATAATACTGTGGGCAAAATTATGTTGAAATGTGTGGAGAGCAGGCCGGGGCTTCATAGCTACACATGAAACGGTGCATTTGGTTAAACTTACAGGCACAGGTTGCTCAATTTTTTTTTGTGCTTATGTTACACTACTTAGTACTACAGGATATATAGACAATACTGCATGGAAAGTGCTGGTGTACAGTATTTACGCACGAGTTGTTGACGTATCAGAAATCGAACCAGTGAGGACAGCGAACGACTAAGATTTCTGATACAAAAACAACGAGTGCGTAAATACCATACGCCAGCACTTTCCATGTGGTATTGTGTTTATCATATACATACTGAGACATTCATCATTTTGGCGGCCTTTTTATTTTAAATCTTTCAAAAATGCTAAAATTTGCCACTACAAATTTACCGCAAAATGACAATGAAAACGAAGTATCAGCTTTTTAGTAAAAACATTTCTTGAAAACATAAATGACGTTAAGGATATGAGGTGATCCAAGAACTATAAGTAATCTTAACTGTTTGTTCTCAATGTACAATTGAGCTTAAATGAAAGGTTAAAGCTTAAATGAAAGGCAAAGTAGCTCCGACAAAAAGCACAACAAAAGCTCACGTCTCGTTCTGTTTTTCCCTTTCCGCTGTTGTTTCGCCGACTCTCTACCGTTTTCTTTATCGACAGTGAAACAAACGGAACTATTCCACTCCATTTCCGAAATGTTTTTCACTTTTCTAGCAAGAAAAACTCTTTGAGTAAAACTTTACTCATTGAATGTGTGCGAAGCCGCGCTGCAAGCTGCAATAAAAGGCGGGAATTTTGGCGCGAAACTCACACATCTCTGTGGCTTCTGATTGGACAAGTATCATTTTTCTCACACGTAAAAAACGTCGTTCGCGATTCTGATTGGAGGTATCATTTTTTTCACTGTGAAAACCATAGTTTGCTCCCCTGATTGGCTAGAACTAATTTGCGTATGAAAATTTATGACATAACTTTTTGGTGAGTATCAAGTCTCAGTATGTATACAATAAAAAGTACTAAAGTATTTGTCCCAGATTCATATGGTCTACCTGGCCACACCACAACAGAACAAACTTATACAACTTCCGGTTTGTGCTAATATTGGTGTGCTTTTCACCTTGGATATTCTGTCACAGGCTTGTGAGAAGCACATCCAAACTCAATTTTCTCTTTAGCAATTTCGGTTTTGGAGTATCACATAGCCAATGATGTTATGTCATGTTTCAGTGCATAGCAGTGCTTTCTGCCTAAGACAAAGAGCTAGGGATCCGATTTCAGTAGCCTTCTTTGATTGAGTCACTTTATTTTCTGATTTTAACCATTTATTTGAGTTACTGGACCAGGTTTTGCTCCCTATAGCAGTAGTGCCTTCTTATATATTGGAATTATGCCCAAAAAATTTTTAAAAACGCTCGATCATTGTGAATTTTATGAACAATTTTCATGTCGGAAACTCATGTTTCCCATACAAAGCCTTGAAGTAGAATGCAAAGTTTGTCTGAGTCACGCGGGGGGTCTAAGGCAAGAAAACCTATTTTTAGTAATAGTGGAAAGCGCTATTGCCTACTAACTCAAACTGTTTTTTGTTTCCCTTCAGAGTTTGAGTTACCGGGGTTCTACTGTAGTCATAAGCTACTGAACAGTAGTCGGAGAATTCTGCATAGTCAACAGAAAAATCTCCAATCTCCGATGCCAAATGAACAACCTGCCAGTATTAAACGGACACCCTCGATTAACCCTCTTTTAAGTGGACAGAAGACAAAGTCCCCAAACTTATTTCCCTTACACACAATTACTTACATCTTTTCGAATTTCTCTCACAAGGGTATAAAAGGCATCCTCAACACCTTGTCTAGTTTTTGCTGAAGTCTCTACATATGGGATTCCATAACTTGTTGCTAGACCTTGCGCCTCCAATGACATCACTGTCCTCTGAAGATCACACTTGTTTCCAACCACTGGGAGAAAGATAAATCATTCAAATGATCATTTTCACTTCAACCACTTCCCTGCATTACATGTACATGTACATAGTTCTATCAGTGAGGCACAGAGGAGTTTACAAATACTACAAAGGATATGAGCAAAAAATGATATTAGAAAACTTACACAACTTTAGACATTTTTAAATAAAGCATGTCAAACAGAAGTGAGGCCTTTTCCTTGTTAATATGCCTTAACGCCACCCTCTTCTACCCTATAGAGACGATTCACCAAAAATTTGAGGGAAAACTGGTATTCTTACGAGAGTTCTCCTATTATTTCCACCTCTATTATTAAGTGGCCACCAAGCGCTTAATACACCTAGTTTGGCTTTACTTTAAACATATAATGAAGGAACATACCAGCTGAGATGCATGTACAGTCATGTAGAAGGGGACAACTGACTGTAGACAACTCATGTTGCTAGCCTTGGGTGTTTGTTTCAACATAAAGTATTGTTTCTGCTATAGACTACATGTACGCTAATTCATGAAAAACCTCTACCAATCCCCACCCCCTTTAAGCAACCAGTTGCTGGTACCCCGAAGGTGGCCACTTAGTGGACGTTCAACTGCATTTTCCCAAGTTGAAAGAAGAGCAAATTTTGTTCTATATTTAATTTTTGAACAAGTGGGAAATTATGGAGGTTACACAGAATATAATGTAGGAATAAAGTTTTTTCATTGGCTGTTTTTATTGCAACAAAAGTACAGCAATGTACTGTAGCTTTCCCAAAGGAATTTGCCCAAACTAATAAAACAGAAAGCAAGTACATAAAAACACTTACAAACCATAGGTACTTCATCTGCATCCTTTACTCGTTTGATCTGACAAATAAGAAAGAATAGGCAATCAAAAAAAAAAAACAGGGACAGAAATACATCGAAAACAATGTTTCCAGCCAAGAAGCTTAAAAACAGTAACCTCATACTATTTCTTGAAAATGCACTGTTGCTGTTGACAGTGACTGATGTTTCAACAACCTGTGCAGCAGTATTTCACAGTTTTGCGCTTGTATTATTAGAAATTCTAACCCAAATAATACTGCAGAGTCATAAAGGTACATGTACATGTAGCTTACATCACAGAAATCATATAGACACTAATGAAAAATTCTAAACTTGCATTAACAATGTGAATCCATATGAAGCAACTTCTTTAAAGGTACATGTACCTGTTGTCTAAATGCATGGATTTCTTCAAAAGATCTCTTGTTATTAACAGCAAAGACGCAAAGGAAACCCTCTCCTGTTCTCATGTATTGATCTCTCATGGCACTAAAAATATCATAAAAACAATTTAATAACTTTCATCAAAAATTATCAAATCAGCTTTTATCTACTGTACATCGCCACATGAACAGTGTACATATTAGTGATAGCCTTTATCCCTGATGTAACTACATGTACTTGAGAGAGCAACACAGAACATGTATCATTATTGTGCTAATTTGGGATGGATAATATCATTTAACTTTCTATTTGCATAAGCATGTAACAGTACAGTCGAACTGCACTCTAAAGACACCCACTTAATATAGACCCCTAATTATTATGGACAGCTGGCTTCATCCCCAGAGAAAAAAAAGCTCTTAAATTTTTTCTAAATTCAGCCCACTTACAATGCAACTATTGTAACCTGGGCCACTTAGACAAAGTTGACCGATCGGATTACAGGAAAATAACAACTTGCATTCCAAGAAAGTTGGTTGTGCGCCAATCAGCAGCTTGTAAAAAAGGTCTATTTTCCCTTCCAAGTACACATACAAAGTAAATAACAACAACTGCTATTATTAATCAGCATCAACAATGTGCAAAGCAAACAAAACATGCCACAGTGTTCCTGGGCAATGTAGTGCTTGTTCAGGAGTGTTGCTCTTTGAAACTAACAATATGTAATGCAATAAAAGGTCAAACTGTTCATTACTGCTACTAATTTTATCATTAAGTGGGTAATGTTTGTTAAGAGGGGATCAGGATCTTTCTCTCTTTTCTTCCCATATTTTATTTACAAAACAAACCTCCACTGAGGGTCTAAGGATGTCCACTTATTAGAGGTTTCACTGTTTAGAAATCAAAATACTGATGGCAGATCCTCACCTGTACTCCTCTTGACCTGCAGTGTCTAGAATATCCTGTTCAAAATATAATAATGCAAGTTGAAATTTAAATTACTTCAGCAGAGAATCCCAAACGTTTTTATTGGGAAAGTTACACTGTTTAACCTGCTCTACCTACACATGTGCATTGAGCTGTGCAGATGTGTTTTTGTGTGCTCCAATCCTAATTCACAAATTATTCTCTTATTACGAACGTACATTTTCTGAAAACCATTCAGCATGACGGGTAATGACAAGCTACAAAAGGTTTTTGTTTTTATTAGATAATTTGTGTTATTCATGTAATTGTCTTGCCCCACCACAACTAGCTTTCCAGCTATTTGTGGGGCAAAACATCCAACTTTTGTATTTTTGTACAAAAAATAAAGATGTTGTTGTAGTTTTTGTTGTTGCTCTTCTGCCAGTGCAATTGACAAACGCAACAGTCAGTCTTCATGGTCAATTTACATATATGAAGCCGAAAACAGTGCATTACCTATTGCTGGGAAAAGCAATAAGTTACTTTTGTGTAACGCCTATTACAGTAATTTTAAACACATTTAATGCAGTACCCTGTCTGGCACAAAATTTTTGTCCGATCTTGATGGCGGCTACTAAAAAAACTCAAATCTACAATATTGCAGTTTCCAGAGTTGATTTGATATTCAAGTATTGTACACTTAGGATGAAAACTTGAAACACTGTTAATTTTTTCTTAATTCGCAAAGCCTGGACGATGCCTGAAAGAACAGATGCATTTTCCTGACTTTGTTTTTTACTAGAGCACATGCAACAAATACTTTTTCTCATGGGAAATCAGTTTTCATGTCATACTTATTTGCCAAACAAATTTTTAACCATGTGATTTGATTATAGCCCTTGATTTTCACTGTTTTTAATTTGCTTGACGTCTAAAGTGCTGTTGCAAAAACCCCCATTTTTGTTATATCTGACCCAGTTCCTGCTTGTCTTATCATTATGGCTTCCCAACTATCATGCCTACATTGTCGCAATCGAATTTGGATGTCCCACGATTCATACCAGGACAACCAGGGTGAAAAGAGGAATAATAAATTATTGTCTTGAATACGGAGCGTAAATAATATAATATTTCTTGCAAAATAATGTTTATCTCAATTTAACTTTAGGTAAAGGAACTTTGTACATATTGGTGCATGACCACCGAACACAGGTCGCTAAGTCAAATTTCACTGCAAGTTTAGTCATCAATATTTTTTTCACTCGCCACGGTGACCAAGATGGTTGCTTAATAGTAAATAAAATATACAGTACACAGACTTAAACAAAAATCAGACATCAATTAAATGAAAAAATGTTCACATATAATGGTCAAAGGTGTGATATGCAGGTAAACTATATACACATGTACAAAATTAGTTATCTGTGGTATTTTGCTAAACACACAACATACCAGTAAACATGTTTCTCCATCGATAACAACTTGCTTCCTATATGAGTCCTCTGTAATGATTGAAAACAACATGATTTTTAAAGCTGGGCAGAATATATTTTATTTAAATTGTAACTTGGCTTAAAAATTTTAAAATTACAAATTTCACTGAACTTTCATTGTCAGATTTAAGACAGTAATTTACGAAAGAAAAGATATGTGAAACCAGAAGAGGACTAAAGCAAAGTCTGCTCATCAAAATGTTTTTGGGGCTTGTTGAAGTGACGTTTGGGCTAGTATATGCTAGCTTCAGCTTGCCCGAATGGCAAGCTTTAAAAATGAGTCTTTATTTAAACCCTGTATGGATATACCATTTTCTGTCAATGGCAAAGTATTGTGATTTCTATTTATTATTACAGTAAGATAAGGTTTGCACGAGTCAATTAAAATTTTTGGTACAGGTACATAAATAATTCATAAATGACTCAGACAGACCAAAGATTGTTGGCGATTTGCACAAGCAAACACATTTATATATCTACTCTGTACTGGTCAAACTAAGCGAGAAAATCCCTTTTCTAGTTAGCAATGTTTTAATGCAGCATTATTTTTAGGTAAACACTTCCCAAAGAAATGCATTATTTTCACCTGTTACAAGATACTTACCAATGGTTGGATCATATTCATCCACAAAGCTGAAAATGAAAATGTAAACCCCAAGTTAATCACTACTAAACAACTTCTATTCTTTCCTATCTAAACATCGCCCCACCCCACCCCACCCTTGATCCACACCCCTTTTACCACTCCTTACCTCCACCAGCCCAAAATTGCACATCAACACGCATTTTCCCAAAGAAATATATCTGCAACCAAACACGTTTTAAGACTCAAAAGTCCCTCGTATCATTTCTAAGTGCAAATACCTTAATAAAATGGCCTATGGCTGAGTCCTAGAACATTCTATGCGGCGTAAACTGAGATTTTTCGTCTCAGGAAGATGATCTTCGCAGATGCAAAGAGGGTGAAATATGCAATGCACGTTTCAGTGGAATAGCCAGCTTCTTCAAGCGTCATTTACCAAGAGGTGTTCTTAGTAAGTTTTGATTTAAATCTTTAAGTCTGCAGGTACCATGGGGTACAGGTTGGCAATTACACAAAGCACAAGTTAGCTCTGAAAGTGGTTAATCGACCGGCGGCAGGTTCCGCGAATTGGGCGACTGTAATTTCTGACTGTAATTAAAATTAAGCTTGTGTACAAGCAAGGCCATGTACGTTACAAACGTGAATTCATTATGAAATGAGTGCAGTAGGAAAAGTTACTAAGAATGATTTCAGAGTGATATTTGACAATAATCGGCGATTCCCAAATACTGTATTTTGAGGCGAGGTCAACATGTATGAGCTCAGACACACGATCGAACTTGATCGACCGTTAAAAGAAGGAAGGAAAACAATTATTCCGATTGACATAGAAGAGGTTGATTGTCACTAAACTACTTACTGGTTTTGAATCAACTGTATAGTCAAAGCACTCTTTCCAACACCTCCAGCTGAAAAAGTAAAACAAGCAGCAGTTACCGATTGGCACCAAATAAAATCTACTTAGCGATCGCACTAAGAAGGGTCTACAGAAACAATTAGTCAAGTAGCACCGAAGCTTAAAGGTACCTCCAACAACCACAAGTTTGTATTCAGTCATGGCTCACAACGTCTTTAATAGACGTGTTCTAATTGTCCTTCCAAGTCAAATCTGTTATTTTAGAGAATATACCCTTATTTTCTTCCAAAAGGCTGTGGCCGGTGACTTTGACCGCGCATGCTAAGTGCGTCATGGCAAGGACCATATACCCAACCTAAATTTATCAACCAATCAGAGTGGAGTAAATCTGGTTGTTAGCGAATCAGATCAATTTGATCCTCAGCGGTTTTAATTTCTGTATATAAGAACCCGCAGTTTATACCTCAGCAAAAATATAAAGAACCAACAGTCAGCACCTCGACAGTTTAAAACTATATTTTTACCTGTGACTTATCAGCTCAAATTGATACTTAATGAGCATCTACTTTCATGTCAAAAACGATAAATTAGAAATTTTGATGTAACAGTCGAACCTCCGGCACAACGGCCACCTCGGACTGACAGAAGAAAGTGGCCGTTGTAAAGAAGTGGCCGTTATGGGGAGGTAGAGGTGTGATACGACAATTTTTTTAACGAGTACAATATGTTAATTGTGATAACTTCATGCTTACTGTATCTCATAATGGTAATCCAATAACTGATATATAATATAATATGTAGAGATAAAAAACACAAAAAACTTGAATAATGTTTTGAATCAAACTATATGTCAACGTGACAAAACGAGCAAGTACATGTAAAAATATTCGCGGTAAGTATCATAGACAATTTACGCTTAACTGGAGCAGTACAAATGGAACACAATCATAATACGATTGCCGCGATTAATCATCCACGCACCATACGGATCAAAGTTAACGGGCTGCCTTCGAGCACTCCCACCCCCTCTCCCTAATGACGCCTCAGTGTTGAGCAGTCTACGCTTTGACGGGGGTTAAGTTGCCTATCGGAACTACCCCTAATTATGGTCCCTATTTTGCACCAGTCACTCGTAACCCACTCACTAGAATGATAGACTTAGCCAGGGCTAAAAGCTAGGCTCTCGTTAGTATACCTATTATTTACTTAAAAAATGTAATAGTTTAATGCTAAACGGCGACAGCAACGAGAACTGTTAAAAATATGGATCAGACAGTTCCAGCAATCCCTCTTCATTTATAATCCTGAGCCATCTTATATGAATATGAGTTCCTCGAGGAATAAATTCACTCTTTTGTACCAATACTCGGTAACAGATGTTTTTGTTGGTTTCCGTCCACCATGTTGGTGCCCATCCAGGTGGGCACCAGCATGGCGTCTTCATACAAATCTCTAATAAATTTGGGTAAAATATTTCTTCGGATATTTTGTATACGAAATATTCTGCAAAAAACAACTTTGCACGTGCAGCGCTCTTTTTTGTACATTTCCTTGCCGTTGTTGTTGTTGCCATGTGAAACTTCCTCAGTAGTTGCACGTGTTGTGGAGAAAATGTCTTATGTGCTCACAAAAAATTTTGATTCTTGTTTTCCTGTTGGCTTTTTTTTTTTTTCACTACAGAAACACATTTTCACCTTGTTGACCGCTACCATTTCCTATTTTCTCAACGCGGTAACAAAATTTTCGTGTTGTTTTTCCAACGAAAATCGCCTCCTTTGTTTTTTGTCTCTCTCACTAGCTCTCTGTCGCCCTTTTTCTTGTTGAGCTTCGCTAGCTTGTCGCCTACCTCTCGTCTGTCTTTCTCTTTCTTTATATTCCAAATTTGAGGACATGAAAATTAATCTACGATCAATACTCTAGACAACACGGATACAGGAACAATTTCCGTTATTTGTTTTGTCTGCCGAGAAGTCGTTACGTCACGTTTCCATATATTTTATATTGTAGCAAAATTTCTGGATGAGTAAATTGGCCGTGCGCAGTCTGAGCACTAGTATGGCGCGAGCTTTAAAATCCGTTCGACGTCTACGCAAAAAATAAAAAAAAAACTGATGGCCTCTCAGTTTCGAAATTATCCTGCTTGCAGAGTCACTTCGATCTTTCCTAGATAGGTCGGGAAAGAGGAAGCGACTCTGCTGACCTCTTCAAATTCCTTTGATCTGCCGATCATCCAGCGATTTAGATGAGTCAGACAAGTTTCATACTGGATAAACCAGTTTTATCTGTACACGCACGCGTATTCTGGAGTTTTGCTGACTCTTTCTACGCCCACGCTCGATAACCAAACAAATAGCAGCCGCTTCAGTTTCATGAAGGAATTTTGAGAAATTTATAGATCGAACTTCATGCAGTTTTAGAAAACTTGGAAAAAAGACCCCAGGGTTGTTCAGCTCCGCAAATATTCTCCAAAGAGCAGATGTCGCCCTTCGAGTTGTCTTCTTGCCGTTCTTGCCATGTTTTTAGCTATTATTTCGCCTAGTTCTTACTCTTGAAACGAGTGAAATGTCCCCCAACTCAACCTAGTCCCCAGGTCTTCTTGGTTAACAGTGCATTAACCTGCAAGGAAGCTGCACTTTTGACGTCATCGGTTGATTAATCGCAAAATTCTTCCAAGTTTGGTCTTCAGTAGCTGGTTATGGTGAATTATGCGTGTGATTTTGGCCAATCAGAATCGGGGAAATATTTTGAATGAATAATATTAAATAATTAAATAGTTAAAAAATGAAACAATTAAATTAAAACACAAAAAAATGTTGACTTTTGATGTCCGGCCAACTTAATTTGACCGGCCGGAAGCACTTGTTCTTCACAAATTAGAGAAATCCCAGTGTTCCCCAGGAGGAAGACCTTAGTAGTGAAAACAAGGGTTTGAGTGAGGTGCTCAGTCTCGTGGGCTCATCAAACATGGTCTCGGTCATTGTTAATTAAGGATTTTTTCCCCAGAGCCCTTCTTTGTCCTTTTGTCATGCGAAGGGCGTGACGGCCCTCTGGCCATGCGCAATAGAATAGAGCTCTCTGAAGTTGCGGATAAAGTTAATACATAACAATTTTTTCGCTATTTTGTTTGTTAGTTATTTACCAGGACATAAAGAATGCTGACTTTACTGTACCAATACCGAAAGTTACTGATTCTCTTAACGAAAAGGAGTCGAAGTGCTCCGAATAAGCTCCGAAGTGTCATCTCTTGGTCCGCCGAATCATTTTTGTGCTACTTTCGCTCTCTTTACGAGGATGCTGTGTGCGGCCGTTCTTTTATCTTACTGGAGGCGATAACACAGAGGGCGAAGAGGAGAAAAAATCCGTTTATAATTCATGAAGCGACCGTGTAGCTCAAATCGATCTTTTTGACTCAGGAACAAAGCGTTTTTTTTATGGCATAACCTTTTTAATAAGTGAAATCAGAATCAGAAAGGCCTTCATTGATTCCGTGGGTAGTAGTTAGACTTCAAATTTGGAGGATAAATTTTTCTTCCTATAATCAGTTTTACGGCTTTCCTGAATTGCTGCCTCAGTTTAGGGAGAGAGAGACGCTGATTACCGCGGTCGGTTGGCTAGAATGATTTTGGAAGGCCAAAATGGCGCGCAACTGATTTTGATTAGTACATTTTTTCACTTCTTTAAAATTTAAAACTCAAAAAGCAAGTTTGAGTTTGGTCCAGTATCTAGAGCTTTTAGGCTTAGAGACGTCGATCAGATATTTCAGTGCATGAACAATCAGGCACGAAGTTACCTGGTTAACATCCATGACGTTTCAAAAGGAATCTGAAATTCACACTGAATATATCACAATAACTAACAACAAACCTTACACTCCAAAATGATTGCCCTGTGCTGCACGGCACTGGCACAACAATCATGATTTACCTAAAGAGTGTTTGTGGAACTCAGTGCCAATCGTCACGCGTATTCGCATTTTAACTTAATTAGTTTGAGAGTTTATTCCACTTGTTTTCGCAGTAACGAAGAAGTTAGCTATTCGCATACAATAGTTGCGACCTCTTTGTATGACCTCACACGGCAGTTTTAAATTTATTGAAAATTTCTAGTTTAGTTGTTGCTTTATATCACTTTAGTGAAATAGGTCGTAAGATCCCTGTTGGAAGACTTAATAAACTTTTTGCCATTGGATTATATTATGAAAATCATTGGCTTCCGCTTTGCTACAAGTAACGGTAGCTTTGAAGGTCATGGGAGCACCTGCGCGCTACGCAGTTTTAATACATACCAGTGCTTTAGCCCTATTTCAAACGTCGTGTTACTGCCGTGCTAAGCTGGCTCGACTGTAGCTCGACTGCAGCTCGACACTAGCACGACTTGCAATTGGTTTCAGAGGTCGAATTTAATTCAGTCGAATAGAAGGGCTGCATTGCCTAAAGCAAAACACAAAAATAGAGAAACGGCCGGTTTAGCAAACTTTTAGATGTATTCTAATGTACATGACGTTTCATTGAAAAAAGCCTTAGAAAATTAATCTAAGAGCATCTTAAAATTTGATATATTAGACCGCGGGGCTCGCTGTGCATTTGCGTGACTGCGGCCCGAGCAGATTTAGGGAGACTAGCTGTGCTGTGGATAGAAATGCTATTTAATGAATACCTTATATCACTTCACGGGTTGACGTCGGATATTTGAAGCATGTAATAAACACTTAAGTATAGAAAAATTACTGACAAAGATAACAATACAAAAACGACAATTTATTCAAGTATTTCCTTATTTTCACTGCATTACCTGCCATAATGGTAGAGGTACGAATCTATTAATTGATACCAAATCATTTTCTTTTAACGTAATATTTGGCGCAGAGACGGCGTATCATGAAATCAGCACTGTTACAAAGGAACAAAATTTAGAAGTAGTCTCCAAGTTTTACATAAAATATGTATATTTTAAAAATTAAAATTAGATCAGTTACGCTTCCAGGGCCGTTTACTCTCACGGGAACTTGTACCCGTATCAAGCATGTTAATCGTTTGTTAATGTGCGCACTCTAAAAAAGTTGTTCCTAGAGAACACTGATGGAGAAGGTTAAAATTAGCTTGTAAACCCTCATAGTTTCGCTGTTACATAAGCCCAAGTTACGTAACGCTCGCTTATTCATAACATTGCCGGCGTTGTACTTCATATGGTGAGGTTTCAATTCTTTATAGCTAGTTGCTCGAACGAATGAAACCGAAATCTAAGGTCCACTGACAAGGGGTATATTTTTGTCTTGGATTACCTTACACAAGGCACAGATCCCTGCAAGGTCTTGAAATACTCATCAAGTTTCTCGAAGTCAGCGTAATCTCGGGTGTCAAAGACCGGAGTCACTCATTCCGGGGGTAGCGAAACTGTCTTTTAAGGGGATAAGGGGGTAAGATAAGGGGGTAATGCAGTTAGACGAGGCTGCTCTTACCACTTGTCAGGCTTGTTTAAACCAAAAAGACTGAAAATAGGGTTAACTATATGCGGGTTTATCATGGAGAACTAAATCTTCAAACACGTCGAGTGTTCCTGAATGCGTAAAATACACTTAGACGGGTAAAAAATAATTATAACAATGCAGCTAGGGCCTCTACAGCTAGAGACGGGCGATGTTTGTTTTGAAACAAAACTTAATGCAAGGTTGGCACTACTTGAAAGAGCTGATTTATTATAGGCCAATATTTCGGCAAACAATATTAGCCTTCCTCAGGGCCAGAGCTATACCAAGAGAAAATATCTTTTATCTTTGTTTTGCTTTTGTTTTGTTTTTTGCTTTCGGGATCGATCACGGAACTTCTACAGAAAAATTACTACATACATTTAAAAATATCGGTCTTAATAACATACGAAGACAAATTTGTACTTGTATCCTCAGAGTACCGGCACCGGCACCCTGCGCCATCCACAATCTCTGCCCCATGCCTCGTCCGATGACGTCTCTGCCGAGTCATTTAATTTGCGTGAATTAAGTGAAGCTTTTAGCAGATAATTAATATTGTTGTAAGAGCGGAACACGCAACAATAATGGCTGTTACGCTGCTTACTTTTCTTTGTCTCGCATCTTTTCACTGCGCCGTTTCTGCAGATCTGTTCTCAGAGTACGCTCACAATGCAGTTTTGGACACAGCGGAGAAGATGAAACTGTTTTGGACCGTTGATTGGGACGCGGAAACTGTTTCCTTTGCCTTGGAGGCGACCACCACAGGATGGGTTGGATTTGGGTTCTCTGGTCGTTCTGGGCAAATGGTTGGCAGTGATGTCGTGATCGGATGGGTGAAAGATAACAAAGGATATCTTACGGTAAAGTGATGACTTAAATAATGCAACTATCTGTATACGTAGGCAACGCTTTGTTGTTGTTATATATTACAAACCTGATTGTTGAGACAGTGAAACTGGATGGGAAGATCAAGAGAGGAACTTCTGAAACTGTGAATATTTTCATATATCACTATTAGTCCGCACTAAAAAGTTATCGGTAAAAGGCTATTGCACAACGCGTTTTTTCTTTTGTACGGCCTGGGCCGGGCCCGTCATGTTTTTCGAAAGTCTCGGTTCTCTTTCTTAAAACGTAATTGTAAATAGATTTTGCAATGCTGTATGTACTTGTGTAGTCCTGCAAATATAGCTTGTTGTTGTCGTTGTTGTTGTCGGTAAAGAGTTCCGGGCCCGAAAACTAGTCAAGATGCAGATCAAAATATAAAAAATATAAAAAGCGCAGGTCTTTGCTAGCAAACTAATCTATTTTGTTTCGATAATGAATGGTTGTATCATATATCATCTGCACAATTATTGAAACCTCGATCTTGAACAAAAACAAGAATATCTTTTTTTGGCTCGTTACGTATACTAATGGGAAGTTTAGATACTCTGGATGCCAGTGGCTTTTCATGTGCGGTTTCCGGTTTCGGTCAATTCGGGCCAAAGCTTTTCTCCTCTCGAAAAGAAAAAAAAAGTTCTTTATTTGAGTGACAAGGTATTTAGCACTAAAGTACTAATTGGGGACACTATATTTACGTCTCCAACTGGAGACGGGACGCGAGGGTCTACCCGTTTGTAGGGCAAAGGCAGTACCTTCATTTCTCAGTTATTTTTAAGACCCTGAGTGTTGGTTCCGTCCCGGGAAACGAACCCGAGAACTCCCGCTCTACAGTCAAGCGCTCTACCGACTGAGCTAATCGTACCGCGGTGATGAGAGAAAAATAAAGATGATGTGAAAAAAAAAAGAACAAACAAGCAACAAAAAAACAAAACAACAACAACATAGACATTTCTTTGAATTATTGATTTTTGGTATATTTTCCCATTTGAAAGCCTTAGAGAAAATGAGGTTATATGTTAACTGCTGATCGAAAGCGTTTATAAGATAGTCCTACTAACTAATAACTTCATGGGCATCGAAACATTTTTTACCACGCCGAATAAAACTCTCTCAACAAAAACAATCAACAATCAACAACAACAACACATCAAACACTGAACAATAACAATCCAACAATGCATGCAGGTTTACTCGTTTGTGCTATCTCCTTGCCCATATCAATGTCACATAGTAAAGATTCTTAACATGCTTTCACAAAGTATTGAAATACAACTTTCACGGTTAGGAATTACGCAAGGGGATATTTAACAACTTTGTGTTGCATAATTCAGGTGTAGGATGATGTCTATCGAGATGTCCCCTGATAGGTACCATATCGCCACAGACACTGACAGTGATGCTTTATTTGTCGTATTTCAGTTTCTTCAGTGAGAGAGAAAGTAAACATTGCTAAGTGTGGGGCGGACGCTGCGTTTGGATTTTTTATTAGCTCATGAAACTGAATGACGTATTTTTAGAAACAGAGTTTGTTGTAACAACGAAATTGTTGAACTAAACGAGCCACACTGAACGTAACAGCTCTGGTTCGCGGTCACCGTTAAGATTTCTTAATTGGACGACACTTATATGTACGTCTAATTGGAAACGACATTTTGTTACAATCAAGAAATTATATATTTTGAGATGAAGTTCAGCAATCATGCCTAACTTCTTTGTCAATTTTATCAGTTGTCTTTCACCTGTTTTTTGGCAGCCAACACCTTTCCTCTTAACTACGACGGCTTGAATCCATGCAGTAACCCCTAGGGGGAGGGGAAGTCCCTATAATGGCCTCTACAGGGAGGCTCCGCCCGAAATGGGTACATTTTTCAGGTGTCAGGTATATGGTAGTTGAAACATGTCGAAAGGTTAGGAAAAATTTGCCATTTCGGTCTGTAAAAAGGCCCAAACGGGCTAACAGATTTTTTGGCCTTTAGGAAGAAGAGAAAACGGTCCGGTTTTGTGATTTATATCTATTTTAAAGACAGTTCATTTTGTAGTAGTTAAAAGGGCCAGATGCAAACTTCTAAATGAGGTATATGAAATGGGCATCATTTGTCAATAGAAGGTATACGAGAGGGGTACCCTGTCTGCTGTCAAAAAGGCCCGGTATATAAAAGGTTGGGTAAGGAATTGGATCTCGGGGCAGAGCCTCCCCAGTATGAAACTCTGTTGAGTACCCCCCCGGGCCACATATTCTAAATGACAACGAATCATATCTGTAACCTGCTAGGTACGAACATTTACATTATTTTGCCGCAATGGTGTTGTGGGCAATAATAAAACGTTAACTTAATAATCTGATCAATTTTGCTATCTACTTATAATAAATTTTTACATTGTTACGGGCTAAATTTTAAAGAACCTCTCTCGCAGGATCGTTACGCTGATGAAAAAGCAATTCCACTGGTCGACGAACAGCAAGATTATAAACTTGCGGATTTCCAAGAAAGCGACGGAAAAACTCTGCTTAAGTTCTCGAGGAAATTTGACACCTGCGATCCACGTGACAGGAAACTTGAGGTATGTGTTTAATTTTTGCTCATTGAATTATCCCTTGAAGGGAAAGTAATCCATTTTCTATTTGCACATCTTCCAAAATATATCTTGTTCACTCGGAAAAGTTTTGCATGAGTTATGTTTCCAATTTCTGTTGGGACGAATGCAATACCCAGGAGAAATTAAAAGCAAAAGTTATGCAAAATGTTTGGGTGCAAACGAAAGATCGATGTGCAAATGAAGGAGACAGTATTCATAACAATTCACTCTCAATCACTCACAAAGGCGGGTTTTCGCTTGGCTTACAAAGGTGGGTCTCACAAGGCTTTCAGGGGCGGGATCCACAAGGCTTTGAGTTTCACAGTCCGGTTTAAAGGCGATAAAAAACTAACTACACCTTTGCTACATCAGAATTTTTCACGTGTTTCCGGTTGTAAAACGATCTTAAATCCATTACGTAATCAAATACGCGCTCAGTCCCGGACAGAGGATTTGAGAATTTGTATCTTGTAAACCCCTTACCTGCGCATGCGCGAACCCTTGTTGGCTATTTTGCGCACATCTAAACGTTCGCGTCAAATTCTCTGAGCTGAGACGTTTGTGTGGTGGGGGCATGTTCGTGCCCCTTACCGTACAAACCTTTCTACAATTTCGCGTCTTTGTAGAGCTCTTTAGCCGTACCACCTTTAAACTTGGCAAGCAGTGTCGATGGATATTCACTTAGTGGAAGGATCTGTTATGTTTGAAGTACGAGATGAAAGTTGTAGGTGAAACTTCAGTTATCGGGAGTTATTTTAATTTCATGGCATGGCAGTTTGTCCAGTGCTTTCAAAAATCATCCGGTCTGACGAATATATTTTTAGGGGGGGTCTGCACATCTCTGACCCTTCCCTTGAAAACACCACTCTTCACCAAATGAGATAAAAGTTCAATGAATGACTGAAAATTGAAAAGAGATGTTGGATGGTACCATGGGAGTAACTCTCTTCTTTTTTATAGGACGGTGCCACCAAAGTTGTGTTTGCGTATCATTCTGAAGATCCAGTATCCTCAACGGAGATGAAATACCATGAGTTCAGAGGCACTAAAACCATCCTACTGTTGAACAGTATGGATAAAAGAAACGTTAATGAGACTGGATGGAAAAAGTTCACTTTTAGTGCAAACAACGTAAGTATATTTAAAGGGGCTGTGTCACGACTTTGGTTATGCCAATTACTCACTCTTATCCGCAATAGAATAAACGTCAGCGAATAAATTCCTTGCATATGACACAATTACAACTTTATGTTAAACATACATGTCTCCTAACTATATCAAACATCACAAACAACAGAAATGAAGGTTGAAAAGTTTTGCCTTACAAGTTTTCAAAACCGCTTCCGTAAATTTCTGAAAATAAGCCCCTCCATGTATAAGCGCCTCCAAATATAAGCCCCCCAAACCGGTAAGTCCGGTAACGCCCTCAAATGCAAAGTAAAACAAACGAAAAACGGTAAATGTGGTTCCAACTATAAAGCTAGCCCAATCGATTTTAAAACGCAAATTTCCCTCGGTAGATAAGCCCCTCCGAATATAAGCCCCTCAAAAAGGGCCTTTGAAAAATATAAGCCCCGGGGCTTATTTTCGGAATTTTACGGTATTTTAATCCGTTTCAATCTTCTTCACGTTTGTCCACCCGTGCCTTCTTTTGTATTTGCTGTGTTATTTAATATACCTTCCTTCAATGTTTTGAACGTTAATTTTTACGTTTAACTAAGTTTTGTGGCAGTTCCCGCTGTTTGAATTTCGATAAATTTCGTGACACAGCTCAGCTCTAAAAGAATTCTGTTGCATGAATTACGTTTGATACAAGCTGCTGCAAAAATACCTCTAGAAATACTGGACGGAAGATTAATGGTGGAAGCCAGTATCCGACAACTCAAACGTAGTGCAAAGGATTACGTTGTGAGTTAGTCCTTTCAATCCGGCTTATCGGTAAACCAAGTAAGATCGGGTCGCCTTCCTGCAATTACCACTTTCTCGATTCCAGAATCACCTCACACATATTTGAGCCATTTTTTGGTGAACTAAAAGAATTCGCAGATCTTTGGTGTGCTGGTAAGTCGCTTACCATTTTTGGGCAACCCAACCGGACCTGTCTGTCATAATAAGCACCCTCTCCATGCGAAATGACGTCTTTTTTTGGAATATTTTCAATGCATTATCTATAACAGACGTCAAAAAAGGAAATAAAAGATTTCTACATGCAGGCCACATCTCCGTGGAACAAATTTAAAAAATCTGCAGAATGAACGACAAGTGTTGTGACAGATTCTGAATTTTATAGACCATAATTCGTAGTGATATGTCAACTAATTCTCGTATACTTTTTCCTTAAAGGAGACAATTCCAGGAGGCGAGAAGACCACCTACATGTGTACGCTGCTGAAAGGCCCGGAACTGACATCAAAACACCACGTCACAAAGGTAGCTCTTGGAAAAGTAACAATAGAAAATTATAGTAATAATGATAATGACATGAGAATGGGAACGCTAGGTACATGAAGTGGCTAAATTGCTAAGAGGATAATAATATTTTGTTTTTTTTTTCTCCTCACCGGTTAATCTTCCTCCTGCAATTTTTTCGTTGACACATCAGACTGAATCAAAACCAAGGTTCTTTTGCTAGGTTCGAAGCTAAAGCTGTGAATTGGAACTCGATTCCCGATGAACTCTAAAAAACTCACTTAAACTCACTTGTATCCTTTTAAAATTGGCTTGGAGAGTAACTTTTAAAATCCATTCCAATTTCAGAAAAACATTATATGGATTTCCATGGTTTTTTTTCTTATTCTTCTTCATCCCATGAGTCACAAACTTAGTTTTTGTGACGATATCACCTCTCTACTTGACCACAATTATTTCATTCGTGTAAAATTTATAGAAAAAGGAACTCATATATACGTACTTAATTAATATCTCAAATTTTTTTTCAGACTGTTCCTCATATTCAGAAAGGAAACGAAGGTTTCGTGCATCACATGCTACTGTTCGAGTGTGAAGGAAACTTTACTGAGGAGCATTTCAACAAGGGCGTTAATTGTTACGATCGAGCCAATATGCCCTTTTTGAAATGCAAGTCTTCATCAATTGTGGCAGGCTGGGCTGTAGGGGGAATGGTACGTAAAAACACTTAAAAATCTCAATCTAAATAGGACCTTCACCAGTATTTGTGTTGACTTTATGGTTAAATTTAAACGGAACAAAGACTAGCCTGCGACTCAGCGGCGATGAGCGAGGAGAAACGTCTGCCGTTCGCAGGCTAAACAAAGACAAAATACTGTGTGAAAGATAAGGCCGCCGATGGGAGAAAAGGTCGAAAAGAGGTTTGCCGACATTACCTTCCGCGGCGATTTTCCACGAGTGGCTAACTCCAATAATTACAGTCAAAGCCCACTTTACAGACGACACCCTCTTATTAAGGAAACCTCATTATTGTGGACAGTTTGCTTTGTCCCTTGGGAAAAAAAGCCTTTGCATTTTCTCTAAATTCAACCCGCTTAAAAAGGACACTTTCTATGACCCCCACAGTGTCCAATTTAACGGGGTTTGACTATGCTACCTTAGCTTTCCAACGTAGTTTCACACTCGAAACGCCTTCCAAAATCGGCGAAGCTGTGAAGACAACCGGCAAGCCGAGAACTTTGGGGCTTTTGGGGTGTAAGTGCAATGCAATTCTATCCCTGTTTTTGTTCCCAGCCAATCACAAAGCCCGGTTTTTACTAAGTGGCATTTTTTATAGTTCTTACTCAAGCGTTTAGTCGGTTAACTGAGTCTGTAATGGATAAGAAGAATATATAATATTAACCAACTGTTTAGCTGCTTGTCACCTTCTGATATAAGGCTCCTGGACTATTTCTATTGTCATCTCTCTTGTAGGACTTTTACTTCCCTCCACATGTTGGTTTCCCTATCGGAACAAGCGACTCTCCTAAAAATTATCTTCTGGAAATACATTATGACAATCCAAACTTCGTCAAAGGTTTGCTCATTTTTCAATTCATTCATTCATTTTTCAATTTCTGACGTGGCAAATAATGCCTTGCATGCTTTTGGAAATTTTAAAGCCTCAGGAATTTTATTACTAGTGATGACATGTTTCGTCCTGTATCTTGCAAGGAAAAGCAATGTTCAAGGGTTGATATTTTACTTTTCCTCAAGGCAGATAGACTCCTTTGCTCGTTTTCGTGACTTTTGGGCAAGCCCACAAAGTAGATTACCGCTTACATGTCAGAAAATGTGTAATAACCTTTCCTGGGCGAAGAGATTGTATCTTACGAGTGGATCAGCTTCAACCAGCAAGGGCGGGTTGGTTAAAACTGAGCTACATTGTGAATGTACTCATTTCAAACGCCATTCAGAGAGATTTTCAAAGCGAATTAAGTTCATGTAGTGTTTTCACTCACGTGGCCAGCATCTATGCAAATTTATTGGAACAAAAGAAATCGTTTGCATAAGAAAAGAGTTCAACTCCCACAGGACTGGTTTGGGACATCAACATGGCCGCCGTTTTACTGTTTTGGGACACCAATATGGTCGCCGTGACGTCATGTGAAAACACTCTATACGCTTAGTATATGCACAACAATAAATATAGAAATAAGAATGAAGTCCTATTCCTGAGGCTTTAAAATTTCCAAAAGCATGCAAGGCATTAATAGTAAGTTTTAATCCGTATTTATCTTATATAAATAGTTTTTAGCATCAATTTCAACTTTTCTAATTTGTATGGTGTTTTTGTCAGTCTTTCCTTTTAGTTTTTTTTAGATGGATTTTAATTAGCAGGACCTGCATTGATAGCAGTTTTTCTTAACTGACGCAGTCATCCTGGGTAAACATGTTCTTCTTCTCCTTCTTCTTCTTCTTCTTCTTCTTCTTCTTCTTCTTCTTCTTCTTATTATTATTATATCATAATTTCTACTACTACGACCACAGTATTATTGCTACCACCATTACCACTACCATCACACCCACCACCACCACCACCACCACTACTACTACCACCACCACTATTACTACTACTACTACTACCACTACCACCACCACCACCACCACCACCGCTAATAATAAAAAAAATAAAAGAAAATAACAGAGGTTGACAGCTTTGTTTTCAACTACCCACCTCTATAGATGTGATTCTCACTTTTTTCATCAGGTCAAAAAGACAGCTCAGGTCTTAGTTTCTACTACACCGACAATTTGCGAAAATATGACGCTGGGATTGCACCTGTTGGTGTTAAAGTGAATAGCTGGCATATTATTCCTCCGAAACAGAAAAACTGGTTATCTGTTGGATACTGTATGCACCAATGCACAGAGGTGAATGTTTTTTAATTTTGTCTTTTTCGGGTAGGGCCATGCTTTGACAGACTACAGAGAAGAAGGAGGACGAATATTTCTTTTTGCAGCTAAAAATAGTTTAAAACAACTTTATCCTGCGCTCAACTCGGACATATCATGCATAAGGGTATTGCTTTTTGTAAAAAAAGTCACGAATGTGCAAAATTGTCGCGCTTGGATTGTCCTTGAAAAACTACTCGTGGTCAATACCACATCGCACGGGAGTCGACTATTACGGAGAAAAAAGATACAGCCCAAATCTTACTCTGCTCTTTGGATTAATAGCGACTGTGTTTAATTTCTGTTTCAGTCCTTGTTCAACAATACGGGATTACCTGGAGGAGGGATCAACGTCTCTGCCATTTTACTTCACACCCATCTGGCAGGTAAAGCTCATTACGATCACCAGTATCAATGACCTCTCTTTCTTTTCTGAAGATGCAAAAAACTATCCAGACTCCTGACGCTCACTCACGTTTCCTTTATGTACGTCGGTTGGTTGGGCGGTGGAAACTAAAAAGTGATTATAACTAGCTGTTGGAAAATATCCAAGGCACATGGAGATAAAATGACGACAGAATTGTCGCCCAGTCGTTTTCTACGTGAAACTCGTCTTAGCAATAAAAAGTTATGAAATAATAACCAAATTAGCAAGTCAAAATAAATGGAGCCGTCGATAAGTATGCTTTTTTAAGTTTTCCGTTGATTGGTGTGCCTAAAATGTTAGTTGCGGATATATCTTAACCAGTTTAAACATTTTTAGAAAGAAAAATATGGAATGCTTTTTGTTATAGTAGGATTAAACAAAATTATGCAGCATTATTTTATTTCACAGTTAAAATTCTTTTTTCTAGGGCGTGCTTCCTGGACCAGGCATATCCGTAACGGAAAAGAACTTCCTGAGATTGCCCGAGATAATCATTATGACTTTAATTTCCAGGTATGAAGTTGAAGTTTCATCAAAACAACAAGTCCCTTTTTTGTTTTGCTAGTCTAAAACAAAGAATTTAGAGATAAATACTTTCATCAGATATGGGTTAGACTGCTTGCAGTCCGCCTTTTCTCTTAAAATCCGTCTAGTTCTTATCTCAGCCAGCGCGATTGCAAACACTGACTTCCTACACATGTTATAATAAGGGATTGGGACAAGACGAGAAAAGACGAACCTTGTGTATTTGACGCGGGGAAGTGCAGAGTTGATATAATCCTGGTCGATTCTTTGGCACCTTCACTGTAACAGGCACTAGGCTCTCTAAACTCTCCATCCACGATCAAGTTGTTTCTTCTCGGGCTTAATTACCCCCTCGTTTATCGCGGCTCGCGTGCTTGGGTTTCGCGTGCAGTAACTTTGCAAGGAAAAATAGGAGACCATGCTCCCAGTCTAGATATGGGTACACTCGACGTTTACAAACGATGTCCTTGTCTTGATTTGCAGGACAGTCAAGTTTTAAGAAAAGAAGTCAACATTCAACCGGTGAGTAATCAAAACTAAAAAAATAGGTGGCGAGTGTGGCAGTGGTAAAGAGTAAACAATAGAATTGTGGTGGTGAAAGCGGTGGAGGGCAAACAACAGGAATGTGGTGATGGTTCTAGTTTTGATTGTGGTGGAGGGAAAACAATATATATGTCGTAGTGGGGGGTGGCGGTGGTGATTGTGGTGGTGGTTTAAGTGGGAGAAGGAAAAGACGATAATTGAGGAGGAGCAAAATAACTGAATTGTGAAGGAGAAGGAAGGGGACTGGCGTTAGTAATGTTTTTGGTGCTAGAAAGAGCTAGTCTGCGCTCAATTTGTGCACAAGGGATCAGTGAACTGGGATAGTAACAATTTGTTGAACAATAAAAGAAGCAGGAAATAGAACTTGCGTAATAGGCCATTTGCACGATGACGTCATTTTACTACTACGACCAGAATCCTTTAGGCTTTTGCTTTTTCGTGCAAATTAGGGCTTTTGTTATTTAAACCTCTCTGGGATTACCAAATTTAAGTATGAAAGAAAAACGAAAAAGAATTGTGGTCGTAGCTAAAATGACGCTATCTTGCAAATGGCCTATTACCTTACGACAAAGTGATTTTACATGCCAATTGCCAACCTTGATGCATTGCGCGCCGCGAACACAAGTCCCATAAATTTCGTGTGACACGAAATTACTGATAGCTGTGAAAGGCTTTTCCAAAAGTTTGGTATCGGTTCCAACTGCTTAAGCTATCCGTTTAAAAAAATTGTCATCCGCTCGAACGGCTAGCCGTTCGAAAAAAGAAATGTCATCCCTTGGAACGACTCAGGCTATCCGTGCGAGAAAAATCGTAATCCGTTCGAACTGCTCGGGCTATCCGTTTGAAAAAGATGGGGCTCAAGTACTCGGTGTAAAAACCTGTGAACCTCACAAGTGACCGCGTAAAACAATGAGAACAAAGAAGCCAGTGAGAAGTCAAAATAGGGCCAAGGAAAATAGGAAACAAAGAAAACCTTTACCGCTTTTTACACCAAGATGACCCAAAAATTGTCATCCGTTCGAATAGCACTGGCAATCCGTTCGAAGAAATTGTCACCCGTTCAGTAACACACAGCAATATCACTCTAGGCGCACTCTCTCTCACTTTAAGTCTGGTTTCCATATGATCGTCCGGATCGTCCCAATCGTCCCAGTCGTCTCAAAAAATGTTCAGACGATCGGGAGGATCATATGGAAACGCTACCCAGACGATAGCAAGCGACCCGGAGGACTGAGACGACCTCGATCGCTTGGATAGAGTTGAGTTCTATCCGGACGATCGGGACGATCATTTTCATTTTGAGGCGATCATGTGGAAACTACCAATCGCCCCAGTCGTCCGGATCGTCTCGAAATATTTTGAAACGGCTTGGGCGATCGGGACGATCCGGACGATCATATGGAAACCAGGCTGTAATACGTCCCGGTTATAAGTCCCAGATGTGAGTCATGGAAGACTGCTGCACATTACAGATTCCTAAGCGGCAATTTATTCTTGAGATAAAGACAAACGGCTTTAACGTCATCGGTGTACAGTCGACACGATAGGACTTACACCTGAACCTGCTAGACGGTCATGTGACATTTTTCGGCGGATGCGTGATTATTTTGGCAGTTTTAAATTTATCTTCATTTGATATCTGCTTACATGTATAGGGTGGACGGACGGACAGACGGACGGACGGTGACTTGAGTAGTAAAATTTCTCGCCTTCTTGGGTTCCCTTAGGTCACCCACGGGCTCTACTGCGCACGAGCTCGGCGATAAAATATTTCTTTGATATTTGTTTTTAGGGTGATGACCTTATTCACTACTGTTTGTATGATTCCATGGACAGAGATAAGCTGATTCAAGTAAGTTCCGTTGAGTTAATTTTTTCAAAGACAAGAACTCATTACTTTCTTTAAGCCTTCGGTTGAAGGGTCTGACAAGTTCTATACATTTTTGTACTCTTTTTTTGGTGAGCTGAAATTTTTAGTTAAATTCAGTTCACAGCTTGTTGTCTTATCTAATGCGTGCAACTCTCAAAAGAAAGATATCAATGGATTCAATGAAAAGGACATCATGATTGGGTATTAGTCAGTTATTTGACAACAAAGGAGCTTAGCTTGAAAAACGTTTTCACTCTGCACTCTCTTTAGCCCGGCCAACGAACGCCAAAGACACATATGCATTCACTTATATATAGTAGTTCCACTCACTGCAGCACTTGCGTGATTTTTTTTCAAGCCATTTACAGGGGCGGATCCAGGATTTTTTTTAAGGGGGGGGGGGGTGCATTCGCCTCTCCCTCACCTTTAACCCAAATAAACCACATAGTTTCTTTTTTTTTTTTTTTTTTGCCAAATACGGGTTTTTTTAAAAAATCCCGGGTCATCTCAGCGGGGGGGGGGGGGGGGCGCCCCCCCCCCCCCACCCCCCAGATACCCCCCCCTATTTTACACACTTTTTTTAGTTTTGGATGTTTTTGCTTTTGTTCATGTTTTTGTTTTCGTTGGTGTTGTTCGTGTCGTTGCCGTTTTTGGTGTTTTTTTTCTAGGCGTTTTAGGGGCGGTTCTTGGGGTTGTTTTTGTGGGTGGGGGGGTTGCACTCGTCTCTTCCTCTACTTTAACACCAATAAACCACATAGTTTCTTTTTTTTTCTTTTTTTTTTGCAGAATACCGGTTGTATTAGAAATCCGCAGGTCATCCCAGGCGGGGGGGGGGGGTGCGCACCCCCTGCACCCTCCCCCTAGATCCGCCCCTGATTTAACGCATTATTCTTTTTTTAACAACTGTTTACTAGACAGCTGCTGTAACAGGACAAACTGTTCAGAAAAGTGGTATTAATTTATAACGGAACCATCTGTTTGAAGAAATGTTACGCCAGAATTACTAAAATTACTGTGGTGTCGATCTGGGAAATCGTGGCGTACTGAATTGAGTGACTCCTTCTGGCTGGGGAACCAAAAACTCGTAACAATGATAAGCTGTCACGTTGGTCTAGAGCAGGCTATCTGCCAATTTCGCTTTTTAGCTACCTCGAAAGTTGGTCTAAATGGTTGCCAGCTAATTTAACTGGTACGAAATTTTCATTGGATATCTTTGCTCAAATCCATTTTGTGTATCGATCTACTGCCTTTTGGAACTCGTTGCCCCTAGCAACATTCGCAACTCGCCCTCCGGCTCCATTTCACAGTTTAAATAGTCGCTAAAACATTTTTTATTGCTAAAGTGGCTTGACGGTTAACAAATCCTACATGTTTTTATTTACATGTAATAGTCTTGTTGTAATTTTAATAGCTGTAAATTGATTCTGAAAATCGTTTCGTGGAGAGTCAAGTCTTTGCATTTGATTTAAGAGCTGTGTTATAAACTTTACGATCTTCAAAACGATCAAGAAGTACTTTATTTTTAGGGAGGCTTAGAGACAAGAGATGAAATGTGCTTGGACTTTCTGTTTTACTATCCACGAATTAAAGATTTCCGATACTGTAGCAGCACCCTGTATGAACCCTCGCTGAAGCTCATGGAAAAATACTTGTAAGTATTTCAATATTTTGTTCCAACAGTTGGTGCGAAAACAGCAGCCTTGAAAGTTTTCCAACATTGTAAATCATTTCCAGTTTTTTCCTTTAAAAATGGCCTCTTGTTTCAACTGGCGAAATGAAACGCAACTCCAAATCAATTGTTTGAACAGCTTTTGTCCCAGAGACGTAAAAAAATCACCGATCTTCTTTGGCCCGGTTCAGACGTCGAACTTTTCAGAGCCGAACCTAATACATTGAATTAAGTACATGAAAAATTCGGCGTCTGAGTCAATTAGGAGCACCTATTTCAATTTGGAACGGCTCAGCCGTTCTTTCTGCCTGACCCGGCCGAGAATTTCGGCTTTGGAGCGACTTTGGAACAGCTTTGATTCAGAACCGAACCGAACTTTTCAGGTACCGAAATAATGCTTAAATAATTATTTTACAAGCAGTCTGACCGAAATGAGCATTTTTCTCCTTCTGAATTTGTTTTTGGGTGGAATTAAGATGGGCGCCTGAATCAATTCAGCCGACCTAAACACATTGGGTCGCCCTTATAGGAAATTAGGCTTGGCTCATGAACTGATCATGAAGCTCGGCGTCTGAACCGGGCCTTTGTCTACAACATTTTAAAATAGTCTGAATTTTACAATCACCCTTGTCCTTAAACCCAATAGTTTCAAAAAAGGAAACAAAATAAAAAACAACTTACCCTTAATTCACACTGTTTGAAGGCCAAATCTGGGCAATCGAGCATCCCTTTTGATCTTGAGCCAATCCGCGCTTTATACGCATTTTTTAATGTAAACAATGTATACGTGTCCATCGAGCTTAGTTTATTTCAAATAATTCGAGACCAATTTCAGAGGGTCCCAATGGGGTGGTGGCTTTTACGGTTATCGGCTAAAATTTTGGCTCTTTTACGGCTATCGGTTAATTTTTTTCAGTTACGGTTAACGAAAAAGTTAAAAATTAACTTCTTTTGTTTCAAAAAGTTAAATATTAATTAACCCGTATTTTTTTGTATCTTTAAATCAAAATAAAGGTCTCCGGATCATCTCGGGATGAAATAAGCTATTCTTTTGAAAAATTTTAACATTTTATATATCAAAAGGTTGAATACTTTTTATAAAGTATTCTACTTCTAATACATTATTTTACACATAGAAATGTCAATAGTCAATTTAAAAATAATCTTCGTGAAAAAGCAAAAGCAGACACGCAAACGCCCAACTCAAGGCCGGGGAGCGACATTCATTATAACAGAAATGGCCGTTTTCACACTAGAGAAGGATAATTCGTGTGAGACGGGTTATCCGTTTGTTGATTCGCGTCAGATAGGTAATACGTCTTAATCTGAAAATGGAATAGTTTTAATTTTGAATGAACAATCCGCCTGACTTTTGAAGACGGGATTATCCGCTCCAGTTAGCCTGTGTACAGCCGCCCCCTCCCCCCGCAGAAAAATCGGAGAAGGGGTGTCTGTGGGGAGGGCGCGACTGTACACAGGCTAGTCTCAGACGGATGATCAATTTCTAGCTCTAGTGTGTGCTTAGGTCTTGGTTAACACCTAAAAGGCGCCTTGCCTAACGTGCGTACGGAGTCACACTAGGCGGGAAGTAAAAAACACAACCATAAGTAAGTTTAGCACCTTCCTTAAAAGTAGCAAATCTAGGTAACAATTTCTTTTACGGTTAACTCTTTTTTACCCTATTTACGGCTAACGGTTAAAATTTTTCAATTTTTACGGCTATCGACTAAATTTTTGGCCGTTTTACGCCTATCGGTTAACCCTATTGAGACCCTCATTTCAGGTTACACTTTAAAAAAAATTCCGCCCACAAATCGTTCAATGCATTAGGATGCTCATTTTTTTTTAAAAAACCCGCTTTGAAAATTTTGAGGTTTACTTCGTCGAAACTTTAACTTTCATCTTCAGTCCTCATTTCTCGTTCACAAGAGCGCCTACACCCTCATCTCGGCTTGTCTTTTTTGGCGTCCTGAATGAGCAGAAGACCATTTTCGCTTACATCAGTGCATCTGAATTTTCAGCTTTTGATGTTGTCTCAAATAAGGTCTTACTATACTCTGTCTTTTCAAGCCCACAGGTGAAGGTCACCAACCGCTACCGGAACCCAATTGCCAGTATGAACGTTGATTGGACGGATGAAATGGTGAATGATTTGAAAAAGTATGAAAGCGAGGCTGAAACGTTTATTCCTAGGTGTTTGAGCAAAAACATAACCTCTATCAAGGTGAGTGCATCATGTAAACCTGCATCTCCCGAGGACTCTGATATCATAGGAGGGGGGGGGGGGTCATGCTCATTGCGAAATTTTAATTGCACCCCCTGTAGGAGACCAGTCTCGGCAAAGACCAGGGTTAGCAATTTCCGTCACCAGTAGTCGGAACCGCTTTCTTTGGGGATTACCGCAAGCCAAATTTAAGACAGATATTTCCACGTGACACAATTTGGACTCGTCGACGAAAAATATATAGTGATACTAAGTTCGCACGTCACGTTGCTTGCTGTGTGATCGGCAGTGAAATAGCTTGCGAGAGAGCTCTCCTGGAGTTCTTGGTGGTACGGCCAGAGCGCCAGAGCGCCCTTGGAGAGCTTGCTCGCAGGCTGGCAGTGATATGAATTAATTTACCCACCAAGTTTAAAATTACATGACTCCGTTCTAACCGCCCAATAAGGTGGCGTCCTTAAAATAACCACGTGGTATGACCCTGAACCAATAGAAAGAGGGCTATGTACGGAGGATTCGCTCTCTTAGCTCATTCTCTCTTGGCATGAATAAATGTGCCCAATTACAATAAATGGTTCTCCTCTACCAAGAGTACTCCGCTGGTGAGGTGTCCAAAGTGAGCATAGATATCCACGTCACCAACCGATCTGGAAAACTCTTGAGTGACATTTTGCGTAGTCACTTTGTTCTCTTTTAGCGAAATCCCCAGACACTATTTGTCGTCTCTTTCAATGTGCTTCATTTTACAGGACATAATTGGTCCAAGGTTCAGACTTTCAGTACCGGAAATCAAAGAGCCGCTGCCCCCTCCAAAGACCTGCCCTGTTCAGTTATCTGACGCTGACAAGACCACAGTGCCCTGTATTCTCTTCACTGGAGTCCTGAGTGTTGTGATTCACGCTCTTATCTAATTGAAGCGATATAAAGAGAATAAAGAGGAAGTTCACTTTCTTTTTCGTTGTCCTTCATACCCTATGATAAGGAGTGATTTTTACAATGAAGTCAAGACTTTGATTCCAGATATTACCCAGTTACCTGTAAAAGTGTTAGTCAATGAAATGATGAACTCCTCTGAAAGTAACGTAATTGCACTATGATGTAATTTTGACTCTTAAAATTGCTTTTGCACCACTGTATGTACTTGTACGGTCATAAAAATAAACCTTGTTGTTGTTGTTGTACTTATCGATATTAGGAAACCAGGGAAACTTACTAAAACTGGGCATCCCGGTCGAGCCATTCCGTTTGGGAAGCTACAGAAAAAATGGGCTGTGATTTGAGGCGGATGAATTTTCCCGCTTTTTTAGTCTGTTCAGCTGATGTGGACATAATTTTTAGTGGGTCGATCTCTCACCTCGTCGAATTTAAATACTTTTATGTTTATGCACAAGATCTCCACCCGGCTGGTTTGTGTAAGTGGTAGGCACCCTAAGATTTAGATTTTTGTAGCCGCAGCTTTCGGATTCTCCATAGGATTTTGTACGAAATTGTCAATTGAAATAATTCACGTAGGAGAACCTTCCATTGGAAGTTCCTTTTCGATTGTCTATTTCAAAACCATCTTAATCTGGATATTTCCTAATCGAGTTGTAAAATTGAACAATTATTCCATAAGCGCGCGTTGGATATGAGGTGGTAAATAGCCATGTATAACTATATAACTACTCTCTCATATCTAACGAGCGGGAATGGAATAATTGTTTTATTAATAATTGTTATTATTGTTATTAACTCCAAAAGTCTGGTTATTACAACTGAATTTTAGTAAATTTCATTTTAAATATTACAAAACGACCGGATACTAATGTAACTTCCGGTAAATCACATGACAATTTTGCGCCGTTTGCGAACTTAGTTGAATGAACATGAAATCTGAAAGGGAAGGACGCTTTGCTTAAATTATTCTCGACAAGTACTGTTTTCGCTTTCCCTCGCTCTGACTGCATGGAATTTGACGCTGATCGGGTCGACCTTGCCTGCGTGCAGACGTCTCCTATTTCCTTTGTTGCACGCGTCCCTTTTCCGCGTGCAACAAAGGAAATAGGAGACGTCTGCACGCAGGCAAGGTCGACCTGATTGCTCTTCAATTTCGTTTTCTTCCTCCACTGAATCAAAGCTGCGCAAAGACCCAGCTTCATTAATCAATTTGCTGTTGTTGTTGTTGTTCAATGGAAAGCCGCTCGTTGTAGGATTCACTTGAGGCCCGTTATGGTCCGACATGAACTTGCGAAAGTGTTAAGAGGTGTAAAAGCTCTTCAAACACGCCAAAAAACAGCTAATGGTTTTGAAGACTTACTCCTGCAAGGACTTGCAAGCCATTCTGAAAATTTTTGAGGTAAACTTTGTTGTTGTTGTTGTTGTTACATAATCAGTTCGACGTACATGTACGGAAAACTTAAGCTTATAATTTCTTTAACTATGTAAGGAAACTTCGGAGTACCATTAAATAATTTCCAACCAAAGTTTGTGGCTTTTTTTGTCGCTGCCGGTATGGCATTTTCTGTTTTCTTTTTCGGTTGTTTAGTCGGTAGAAAGCTCGCGAAGTCTACTTTTTCCGCCGCTTTGTCCGAGAGAAATTTTGTTGTTTTCCATACAAGGTCAAACTAAAGGTAATGTTACACGAGACGATTCACAATGACGATTTTTAGCGCAGCACGGCGTTGCAATGTTGGAACAATGTTGTAACCATTCGAAACAATGTCGCGACAATGTTGCAACGCAGCGTTGTGCTAAAAATCGTCTTTGCGAATCGTCTCGTGTAACGTGACGCTGGTAACCGAGACTGAGTGAACCAATCAGAATGCGAGAAATGCATTATCCGAGGTTGAAAATTTAATAAAAATAAATATTAAGGGGGAGTAGGTAATCATAGACGTACAAGAGAAAAAGAATCTTAGTTTAGTTTAATGATTGCTAGACCAGCCTTTCGCGGCTAACCTTTTCCAGGCTCCTACTTAGTCATCCTCTTAAAAACGAGGACGACGTCGACTAAGACGAGATTTTCTCAATCCTAATGGGTGCGCGTGCGTGAACCAGAGTCATTTTGGCGGGAAAACATGATAGCCGTCGTCAAATCTCGTCAAATGTTGGCAAATTTCTTTGGAGTTGAATTCTAAAGCATTGTATCGAAAGTTGAGGAATCGGAAAAAGAAAATTGTTTTTTGTGTTCCTATCCTCGACAAAGCGTGAAATTAGGCATTTTCACGTTGTAGTCGTGCAAGAAATGGCTAAGAAATGCACAAAAGAGCATGATGCACGTGCAAAGTTGTTATTTTGCCAATCTAAACCCATTGGTTTTTTGGCTTTCTTGTTGCCATCGCCTTCGTCGTTGCTTAAGCTCCCTAATACGGGTTTTAACGAGAATGTCCTGGTAACGGAAAGAAGTTACTTATCAAATGTTAGAAGTTTCATCATTTCGGGAAACACGGAATGACAACTATAGTGCTAATTTTTCCGGTGAAAAAAGTACAGTTACGCTTTTCGAAGTGTCTATTTTTGAGAATACCAGAAAAATCTTAAACCCAATTCTTGTCTTCGTAGTCAAACTCGTCCTCGAAACTAAAGGTCTCTGATAGGTTAGACGGCTGATCAACCGGAAAAATTGCTCCATAACGTCGTGGGGGTTCGGGACAGACTGAACTTTTCGCTCGTCGTCTACAGTGATCTTGAGCCGAGGTTCACTCGGGCCGCGCATCTTTCGTCTTTCATGATTTCCAAATGAAATGCTTGCCCGCGTGCTACTTTGAAGATCCTTAGGCTGAACTTCTCACCACTAAACTCAAAATCTTGTCAAGCTGCTCTTACCAACCTGTTTATGAACAAAGAAAGCAGGTTGTGGTGGTTAGGCTTTTTCCGATTGTGTGAGCAACACTGTTTGAACATATTTTCGGACTGCTTTTTCTAGAACTAGAAACTGGTGGAGACTGGGGGCGCTCTTCTTACACCAAGCCGAACGTACACTAGGCCCCTTCTCAAAGTTCTTCAAATAGCAGGCTAGGTGGAATACAACTGTGTTGTAACTCGTCCACATAGCTCAGAAGAACTCTCAATTACATGCAGATTAGCACTGATAGCTCAGCTAACTTTATAACTCCGTCAAGGTAAAAGCCATGACAGTTCGTGACATTACTGGTCATCTTTAAAAAATGAACCGCAATGACCGCCAGTTCGGCTCTTTATACGGTAAAAGCAGATGAAAAGAATTTCAAATACATTTTGTCACCTTTTTTCAGTCTTATATTCATTTAGTCAGTGTAGTGTAAGAAAGAGCGAGGAATAAAATCATTATTTGAGAACGATTTGCAAACTTGTCAAGTTTAAAACAATTTTGTATACCTTTGTTTAAATAAGCTTTAAACTAAAACAAACTCTCAGATAACCATGACATCAACTGCCAAAAAAGAAAAAAAGGTAAAATACTAACACTTGTCATCATTTCATTCGGCGACCTTTCGACCTTTCATACTCTAGGACACTAGAATACCTCCCCCCCCCCGCCGCCCCCCGTCGTGGCTGATAGCGTGACTTACTCAGTCCATCTCATTCACAATTAATTAACACGTCATTATGATTGCATGTATGGGTGTTAAATTACATTGCACTTATGACCCTGACGAGGTGTATATCTCTCATTAGTTACACCTGACTCTTAAAGTGTAAGTAAGCTGAAATATTTCAAGCATTTCAATAGTGGCGTGCGAGGTTGGAAAAGTTTTCTTCCGCATTTTTATATCTCTCACCTTCTGTCGTGTTGTAGGTGAACCAGAAAACCGTACAGATGTAACATGCAGAAAAGGAAATGTAACACTCGAAAAACAATTAGTCACACAAATGTCATATTTAGCCACCCTTCCGGGGGAGGGGTACTTTCTTTTTCGTTAGGAATGTCCCGTAGGTTGACAACTTTAACATTGCAGTAAGCTAAACTATTGATCTGAGCGATTGGAAAGGGGGTTAATTAACACGGTTTAGATTCAAATTTCATCCACAAAATGACTGTGCTTTACTTCAGCAGAAATCGAAAAGAGTGTAGAAAAAAAATAAAATGACATAAAATAAGATAAAAGTAAAAAACAGGGCGGAGAAGCACAACATATATATAAGCACTCCAATAATCCAAAGTTGGCCTAAGTAAGCTGGTAATTCACTCCCCCCACCCCTCCCCTCACGTCCATACACTCCCAATGATAGATGATAAACAAATTTTATTGAGTGGGGTGCTTGCGCATACTTTAGATTGAGATTATTACTAGCAGGACAAGCAATGAAGATGCCTGTTGCGCTGTTCTTTCTTCTGTATCAAACAGCTTTCCACTGCACCGTTTCCGCAGATCTCCTGTCGGAATACGCTCATCATGCGGTTTTGGACACAGCAGAAAAAATAAAACTCTTCTGGACCATTGATTGGGACGCTGAAAGCGTTTCTTTTGCCTTGGAGGCGGCCACCACAGGATGGGTTGGATTTGGGTTCTCTGGTCGCTCTGGGCAAATGGTTGGCAGTGATGTCGTGATCGGATGGGTCAAAGATAACAAGGGATATCTTACGGTAAGTGAAAATAATCTGAATTAAGAGCGATCTGCATTCAACGCCCTTTTGTATCTCTGTTTGCCACCGGCAATAAATGAACAAGGGATGCATTCCGTGAACGTTAAGTTGCTAAGACAGCTTCGCTGAGTGCGAAGTCGTGGAAAAGTGAGAATCTTGCTTCAAGATCTCGAGCTCCGCGGTATCTTTAGGAACACCTGTTTTCAAATGAGTCCTGCTGTTTTCGTTTTCGTCAATCGGAGAGATTTGGTATAAAATATTATATAACATGTTTTTCATTACAACCAAAGATAAACAAACCCAATCTTGTTAATCCGCCTAGTTTTGCAACGACACCTACTAACAACAGCAACAAAAAATTAAATTCAGTGGAAGCTAGCCTGTAAACATGGTCTGCATTTGCAAAATGAGGGTCTAATATACATCGAGACAGTGATTAAAAGTGTTAAAGTATACGCCAAAAAAAACTAAACAATATTTTGAATTATTTTTAGTGTTTCTTTTATTTACGCAAAAGTGTGCAAGGTTTATTATACTCGGTTTGATTTGGTTGAGAGATTTAAAAACGCACGTACCGGCCGTCAAGTGATTTTAATAGTAAGATTCATCTTTTGTTGAAATATGTCTTTTAATTTGTTCATATTAATTAAACGCGCTGGTAAAGCAAAGGATGCGTTCCGTTGGCCTTAATTGACTTTTACTTGACCAAACAAAACCTTTCCAGAAAAAACAAAGTTTCGCCTGGAACATACTGTTTTTGTTAATCTTCTACATGTACGTTCTCAAGATCTTATTTGTCTTTGAGTTGGCTTGCGTTTTTGGTGACAAAAACCCTGTCTATCGGAATTTCCTGATCAAGCCATTTAGTTATACTTTATTAAGTAGAATCGATAACAACTGATTGAACTGGTTGCCATGTAATCTGTGTAATTATATTTGTACGCTAATTAGTTTTATTGCAAAACTGTTAAACAACTTTGAGTTAATCTATTGAAGAGGCGGAACAAATTAGTATCGTTAATTATTCCTACATGAAGATTTTTAAACGACAACTTGCGTAATGTGCAAAAGTTGACCACTTGTACGTTTTGCAGTAACGATAGTGTGAATAAGGGACATGTATAATACATTCTTTGCAATTTTTATATCTCTCTGACAATTTTGTTTTCACTGCACACTAACTGGACTTACTCCTGGCATAGTAAATCGAACGTTCGAAAATCGAACTCAATCGAACTCAATCGAACTCAACCCGTGGATTGAGTTCGATTGAGTTCGGCAATCGAACGAAATCGAACACCACACTTTCAGTGAGTTCGATTTCCGAACAAATCGAATTCAATCGAACAAATCGAACTCAATCGAACTCAATCCGTCTGATTGTGTTCGATTGAGTTCGGAAACCGAACTCAATCGAACACAATTAAATGGATTTCGTTCGATTGGCTCTGGTGAACCTATACAAAGCCAGCTCAAAGCAAGCCCGTCAAAGCAAGTTTTTCTTGCGCTTTTTTTACTATTTATTCAATAACACAAATCCCAGTTATAAACTGTCCACGGCAGTTAAGAGAACAGAACAGAACAAAAACAAAGCTATCATTATTCCCGCGGGCGTATTTCGAAATTATCGTACCCTTTCCTTTTTTTAGCTAACTTACAATAGCGGCAAGACAACTCGAAGGATTACTTTTATGCAAAAATACAATCAAATTACTAACCGCGACACAGGCTACGGCATAAAGTAGATGGATGATTATGAAAAATATCTTACTAACGATATACATGATTCTCTCAAATTCATCTTGGACAATTAACAGTGAACAAGAGAGTAAGAGGTGAACGAGCGTCAGTATATTGGACGTTTGGGAGCATCTTACTGCCATGATAGAAACCCTGAAAACTTCGCCATCCTTGACGTCAAAGCGGCATTCCTGGTAGCCTTTGACTATACATTTGAAGCTTACGATCCACAATGCATCTGAAGCCATTTCTGCGGAATTTCTTCGTTTACGAAAAACACGTGCGCTACACTCAGGGCTGAAGTAACTCGAGCTTCTAAGATCTGGTAATGGATTTTCAACGTCTGTTTTACATAAATCACGAGTTCGAAAATCGAACGTTCGATTGGGTTCGATTGATTTTTTTCTTTTCGGTGAGTTCGATTTCTTTCGATTGCCGAACTCAATCGAACTCAATCCACCGATTGAGTTCGATTGAGTTCGATTGAGTTCGATTGAAATTTAGTTCGATTGGGTTCGATTTACTATGCCGGGACTTACTGTAAGTGAATTTTATACTCAAAGCTGATTTTTGGATTACGCCTTAACCTCTAGAGAAAATATGATAATATTTCTTACAGCCAATCGGGTTTTTACTGATGTGGGACTAAATTTCAAATGATTTCGATTGGCACCTGTCATGTCAAGTCAGGATAAAAGGAGTTACAATAGGCTTTTGTCAGAGAGAAAAGTTGAACTCAAGCTAGTGCGAGATTAAGTTTTTTAACAACGCTGAAACTTTAGAAGAAATACTGCTTGCTGAACTATCAGTTGAAAGTACGTGTGTCTTTTCTGTGAAGTCGGCCCGGGAACTAAGTCCTTCAACTGGGTTCGGACTTTTCACATTGGTGCACCCGAGCAAAAGTGGCGGAGCCGTTTCAAATTTATTTAGTTATAACAGCAAACAATGACATGTACAGAGCAAACAGTGCGAATTTAATAAGAAAAATAAAAATGCTGATAAAAAAACATGAACATGACCGGAGGGGGTCCCATATGAAAGTGACAGAGATGCTAGCCGGCTCGCTTATGAATTACAGGTTTTGATGCCCTGGGGTATTCAGGACAGAAAGCCCGACATTTTTACCCGTTAAGGTATTTGGTGGTATAAAGAAGTTATGGAAAGTAATTGATTGTTTGAACCTAGTGTGTCAATCCATTCTGGGCGATTTTGACCCTTAAGAAGAGTGCTACCCTGCGAAAAAAGCCGTTTTGCATCGCTCCTCGCCGCTGGGGACGTTTCGTTTCGTTTCGTCGATTTTTTGAAAGAGTGTTTTGTTCATCTGCGTACAAGCTCCAGCAAAACTCAAATGCTTCTTGCGGGAGAAGAATATATTCCACAAATATCGACTGTTCCGTTACAGATTCATCGCGTTTATATTGACCTTTGAAACCTTTTGTCCTTTTTCTGTCATTCGTAAACAATAGCTAAAAGAATTATGTAACTACTCCGTCGTCCAATCAGCTTTTATGACCGGATTCCGGACAGATTTTACGTCACCAGTATGGAATTTCTTTGGCTGAGTCGCAGATGTCGTCCTCGCGAAACGTCTCCAGCGGCGAGGAGCTAGAAGAAACGGCTGTTTTCGCAGGCTAGAAGGATGCGTAATCCCCTTTTACATTACACATGTAGGCGGATTCATCGTGACGTCATTGTTTACATTTTTGCTTATCAGAATATGAGTTAACCCATAGAAGATGTGGCCGTATATACCAGTTAGATGCAAAAATTAATAGAGCTGGTTAAGTTATGCATTTTGTGCAGGTTTCCGCTCTTTGCAATCAGTAACAAAGAAAATAGGAGCAAATAAAAACTGCAAAATTTCTGGGTGGCAAGATGTTAATGAGCGCATGCATACATTATTTGGGGTTTTTCAAAAAGAATTTCTCCGAAACTGTTTGGTATATCGGGCTCAAATTTTCAGAGATAACCGAAATCGTTATGTTCTTTCAATATTCAGAAATTTCATGTTATGAGCTTCATTAGATAATGATAAAACCTATGCTAATGAGGCAAGAAAAATGTAAACAAGGATTCGCCTATACACACGCCTACGCGATCCTAAAATGACAAGGAAGAGGTGAAATAATGCGCTCTTTACCAGTTGTCGCTGTTTTTGCTTGTTTGTTTGTTTGTTTTTGTAGGCGGGGGTGGAGGGGAGGGTGAGGTCACGCCCGCGTAAGCGATAAGTCCAAGGAATGCTAAAATTTATGTTACTCTTTTTCGTTCTCTATGTTATCCCATTTTAATAGAATTAGAAAACATGTTAGTAAACTAATGTACTCCATCTCTTCCTCTTACCCCGTTGTTCCGAAGGAAATAGTTAGCTAATTGTTTTTCGACAGTTTCGAACAGAAGTCGAAGGTCAACTAAACTTGCTTATCATAGTTCGCATGGTACCGTCGTTTGCTAACGTTAAGGTGTTGGTTTTGTTTCATTCACCCCCTTTGACGTTCATCGGGTTACTATCGAGGTACCCGAATTTATACCTGACAAAAACCTGCCCTATACCAGCCTGCTTGAAGATATTTGCTGTTTCCTTTCTGGAAACATCAGACGTGTCCAGGCGTCTTCACACAGGTTAGCGCCGAAAGAATCGAAAATTTATCAGTTACGAATTTAAATTACTTTCACATGGTGAGGTGTACTTTTCTGACGTTATGATGCATATCTGTAATTACTGTTAATGGCAAATTGCACTGAAAATACCTTTTTTTGCAGGATCGTTATGCTGACGAAAAAGCAATTCCTCCAATCGACGAGCAGCAAGATTATAAACTTGAAGGTTTCCAAGAAAGCGACGGGAAAACTTTGCTGAAATTTACGAGAAAATTTGACACGTGCGATCCACGTGACAGAAAACTTGAGGTATGTGTTTTATTTTTACGCAATACTTTCAGTGGGGCGGGCATTATGTATAGACTAGACCGTGGCTAGAAATCATCGGCCAGATCACAAAGCACTGACACACTTCCGTCATGTGTGCAATTAACTGAAACAGTCTTTTTTGTTTGTCTGACAGACATTTTATGACAATATCTTTTTTCAAAAACGAAAACATTATATTTTTTGTTGTCCCAGCAAAATTTTTCAATTTCTCTTGGGACTTACCATCGCCCCAACGAATTTCTTTACCCTGGTAAAAGTAATATATATGAAAAAGAACCTCGATTTCACGAAACCTCGTTATAGTGAACAAATTTTGCCAGTCCCTTATCCCTTCGCTATATCGAAGTTCCACTGTATTCGGGGAGTCAGTAGAAGCTGTTGATTGTCTAATATTAATTTGCATGTCTCGCTTGTTGTAGGTCGGTGCTACCAAAGTTGTGTTCGCGTATCATTCTGAAGACCCAGTATCAACAACAGATATGAAACGTCACGCATCCAGAGGTACTAGAACCATCTTACTGCTGAACAGTATGGATAAAAGAAACATAAACGAGGATGGATGGAAGAAGTTCACTTTGACTGCAAGAAATGTAAGAAATAGTCAAAATGGCCGCTTTTGTTGAATTACACGTTTGCAGCTGAGCTACTCCTCTTCCCGTTATTTGGGTATTCGAAAATGCCACCATATCAACGTGTTTTAAGACACAATAGGGCCATTTATACGTGGAAAAATTAGACGCTTACTGTACCATGTGGATGTTTTACGTAAGACAAAAACAGCTCGTATAAATGGTTCGCGTCTTATTTCTGTCCTGGACTCGTTTTGAGGTGAATGTTGCCCATAGCAATGGCAACCTCATTTTAAGTTTATTTGTNTTAAGGCCGATACACACGAAGGGTTTTGCTCCCCGAGCATGCTCCAGGCTCACGTGTCAGTACACATGAGGGAGCGTTTTCAAGTTCGCTCAATTTGCCCCGGGAGCTTGCTCCCAAATATTTAACCTGTTAAATATCTTGGAGCATTTTGCGGGGTGGAAATTCTTTTGCCGAGGATGAAGAATACCCATGAAATCGTTGGTACACACGGAGGAGCTTTGCTCCAGGAGCGTTCCCCTGGAGCATGCTCCGGGAGCAAAATCCCTCGTGTGAATCGGCCTTTAATTTGCATGTCTCGCTTGTTGTAGGTCGGTGCTACCAAAGTTGTGTTCGCGTATCATTCTGAAGACCCAGTATCAACAACAGATATGAAACGTCACGAATCCAGAGGCACTAGAACCATCTTACTACTGAACAGTATGGATAAAAGAAACATAAACGAGGATGGATGGAAGAAGTTCACTTTGACTGCAAGAAATGTAAGAAATAGTCAAAATGGCCGCTTTTGATGAATTACACGTTTGCAGCTGAGCTACTCCTCTTCGCGTTATTTGGGTATTCGAAAATGCCACCATATCAACGTGTTTTAAGGCACAATAGGGCCATTTATACGTGGAAAAATTAGACGCTTACTGTACCATGTGGATGTTTTACGTAAGACAAAAACAGCTCGTATAAATGGTTCGCGTTTTATTTCTGTCCTGGACTCGTTTTGAGGTGAATGTTGCTCATAGCAATGGCAACCTCATTTTAAGTTTATTTGTAAGTTTTATTGTAAGTTTATAATACAAAGATAATTTAATTGTTTATTAATTGTGATTGCTAGCGCTTTAAAAAAGCTTCTTCTTACACCAGCAGCTGTAACACATTTGTCGAGGGGGTCTGCAATTTGTTTTTCTTTGCACAGCTACAAAAGGCTTTCGACATTTCTATTGTCTTTTGTCGGGGTGCTCATATGATTTCTCGAGCGAAGAAACAAGTTGAAAGTCGTAGATGGCAGCCCGAGGAGACGAAAACGCGTTGCAATTTGCTATAAACATCTTTTTCTCTGCCAGTCCGCGGCGGGGCACGCGAAAATTTTCTCGCCAAAAATTAAAGCATGCGTACGATCCGTTCGCGTCTAAATAAGACAAGAAGGTCATTTATACTAAGTTTTTCTCTTGTTAGCTCGTCTTTGCTAAAACGCGTCTGATCTAAGAACAGGTATTCAGGGCTGTTCTTAGCTAACATAAGTTTGCGTCTTATTTTTCCTCGTATAAATTGGCCCTAATATTATTTGCTAAGGATAACGCTGATTTTTGTTTTGCATAGCCGAAAATACTGGCTTACTGAAGAACCTGAAGTCCTCAAGACTATGCTAAATGTTTTTCGTAGAAACTTATTGTAATATTTATTATTATTTTTTCTTAAGATGACTATTCCAGGAAACTATTCAACTACCTACTGGTGTACTCTACTGAAAGGCCCAGAGCTGAAATCAAAACACCACATCACTAAGGTACTCGCTTAGCTGCAAAGTATCAGTTCATATAAACATACGGACTTTACCGGGGTGAAGGTTGGCCTGGCACCACGGCGAAGAGGAAGGTGGGTGGGTGGAAAGGGGGAGGGGGCAGTGGCGCAAAAACAACAACAACAGACGTGTCATACGGATAATTCCTCCAGCCAGTCATACAACATGACGTATAAATCAACCTTGTTAGTTTCCAGTTACCCTCCTTCCTAATGAGGTTGGTAGTCGGGACGAAAATTGTTATCTGTTGCAGTTGAAGTGCTGAATGATTTTTTTTTTACAGTTCTCTGGTGTAGAATATTGATTTTAGTGGTTTGTTTAAGGTTGTTCCTTACATTCAAAAAGGAAACGAAGGTTTCGTTCATCACATGATCTTGTACGAATGTGATGGCAATTTTACTGAGGAACACTTTGATGAGGGAGTGGATTGCGACAGTCGAGCCAATATGCCTTATCAGAAGTGTAGACGTTATTCAATGGTCGCTGCTTGGGCTGTGGGAGGGCAGGTAAGATCTCTAAATTAACCTCTAGTAGACTAATTTGTCCGTAACAGAATAACGCCATCGCTTGACCTCAGCCATTGATAGGTTGCTACCATGAAGAAGTGTATGATGTATTAAGCAGGAGCGGGGCGACCGTGGCTCCCGTTGTTCAAACGTTGGATTGCGCTATCCACCGAATAAATCAAGTATTATGGAAACGAATTGCGCTATCCAATGGATAGAGATTTATTCAGTGGGTTCCATTCAGTCAACCTTTTGAGCAACTGTCGGGGTCTGTACGTCAGTACGGAAGTACGTAACTGATTAATGTCGAATATATTTGATAAAAACAGAAGGATAGAGGTTATCCTCCCCCGTAATCTTTGGTATTCACAAAGGAAATTGGGATTATTAGTGTCGCTACTGGTTGCTTGCAAGTTTGTAGGAAATCTTTGTACGGCTATCGACAGCTGCTGATCGACCACCGTCCATCGAGGAAAACTTACAGTCAAACTACTAAAACGTCTAGCCATGCTCCTATATTGACTTTTCAAGTGAATTTAGAGCGGATTCTCGAAAGGAAAAAGTTGGGTGACAAGCAATCCGTGCGTCTTATTATCCGTTTTCTTCATTCAACTCTCTGTTTTCCATTCCTTTTGTTTCGATCTTTTAGGCTTTTTACTATCCGGAACACGTAGGTTTAGCGATTGGAGCAAGCGACTCGCCCAAGTACTTCCTGCTAGAAACGCATTATGACAATCCAAGTCTCACTAAAGGTTGGTCTATATTTCTAATAATTTTCTATTTTCATTAAAGCGTTGCCTTAGCTTTGCTCGTTCTTCCTATACGTATAACGTTAGCTTACGTGCAGTAAAAAAGAGGAGATAAGGAGACTAAACCGTTGCCGCAGCACAAGATTTGATCTTGTTAACTTTAAGACAATTTATCTCGTTAAGTCTGGCTAAGCGTTCTTTTTGTAACTACTGATGTGAAGTATTTAATTGGAAGAGTGGGTCGTTATTTACTACAGGGGCTACCCAACGGATCTCACTAGCCTCGCGACCCCTTAAATAATGAACGGCCCCCTAGTGACTTCTGCACAAAAAAGGTAACCAGTCACTCGTTATATACTTTGGAATATAAACGTATGAATATAACCGATCGATGACCTCATGATGGTAAATATCATCTTTAATCAGGCGAAAAAGACAGCTCAGGTCTCACTTTCTACTACACCGACAAGTTGCGAAAATATGACGCCGGGATTGCAGCTGTTGGTGTTGGAGTGAATAGCTGGCACATTATTCCTCCTAGACAGAAGAACTGGCTTTCAGTTGGATACTGCATGCACCAGTGCACAGAGGTTAGTTTAAAAGGGGATATACATGCATACTGATCGGTGTTATTATTAGAAGTCAAACGACGAACAGAAGTAACGTATCAGGAACAGATGCAGTTGAGGGACGTGCTATGTTATAAGGGCTATCGATCTTGATGGGCCTAGTGAGTCCAGCAACGACCTGAGCTCTCGGAGTGACAGCAGCGAAAAAAAAAAGCATTAAGGAGACACGAAAACAGTTGAGCAGTAGTACCAGGAACAGAAACAGAAAAATGAAAGAACTGAATATTGGGCCAGTTATTAAACGGAGTTTATCCAGTGTTTTTAACAAAACCGCGTTCTACGCCATTTTGAGCATGTATTGCCGAACGCTTTCATGTAAACGCCATTTTTCGTGAACAGTTTCATGAAAGCATATGGCATAGACTTGAAAAGCATTTTTCTTCTTTAAATAACGCACTGAGAAGATATCTGGTGGTCCGAAGATTTCCTAAACCACGGTCTAAGTTCAACTTCGTTTAAATAACCGACCTAATGGGTTTTGGAAGCAGATCATCTGTGATCTGGCACGAGGCTGGATAAAATGTAGGAGAGGTATACTTTTCGTATTCTGCATTCACCTGGAATGTATATGTGTCATTTACTGTTTCAGTCTTTGTTCAAGAATCAGGGATTACCTGAAGGAGGAGGGATCAACGTATTTGCCGCCATACTACACACCCACTTGGCAGGTAATCTGCAGTTGATTTAATGCGTGCATTTCTCAAAATTGTTCACCCGAGCTATTTTCTTAATTAACAATATATGTACACAACATGAAACAAAACTTAACACAACCGCACTGTATAGTGAGGACTTCAATTTTCTTGGCAGTTAGGGCCTGTTTATATCAGATGAGCCAGCCCGGCTGAGTCAGCCCGGGTAGCCGGTTTGCCTTAACCTAGACCTTCGCGTGGCTCGGACGGCAGTCCCGTCTTTAGCAAGACGCTTAAATACAGTCTTATATTTTTTCGTGCTAAATACATTGACAATTAAAGTGTTTTTTCTTCGTTAGGACGCGGTACGTGGACGAAACATATTCGCAACGGAAAAGAACTTCCCGAGATTGCTCGGGATAATCATTACGACTTTAATTTTCAGGTATAAGATTTTACTGTAAATAAAACTCTTTAGATTTCCATGATAATGAAAATCATATAGTTATGCTGAACGATCAGGGGCGGATCCAGGATTTTTTTTAGGAGGGGGTGCACTCGTCTCTTGCTCTACTTCAACACCAATAAACCACATAGTTTTTTTCTTTGGCAGAATACCAGTTGTATTAGAAAACCGCAGGTCATCTCAAGGGGGGGGGGGGGGTGCGCACCCCCTGCACCCTCCCCCTAGATCCGCCCCTGACGATTAAGAGTAGCCCATATTTTTTTCAGGACACACAAGTTTTCAGAAAAGAAATCAACATTCAGCCGGTGAGTAATGAAAAACGAGAAACAAACCAATTTGTGTTGTTTGCTGGTGTACATAGGTTTACCGATTCATGTGCTTTCTCGATTAATCCTTGAACATGGGGATTACCTATTCCCTTAAGCTGTGCCTTCTTATTTCACGCGGCCTATACGTTTCGGGTCACGTGGCCCGAGTGAGTTCCCCTGCCTTTCCTCTTGGCTTACGTCACCGAAATGCATTGACCAAACGACCGTACAAGGACTAGGCAGGGATGAGGGTAGATTTCTTAGTTAGCGAGGGTAGATTTCGTAGTTAGCCCTCTCCTCTCAGGTTACTGAAAATAACAACAACTAAGCCGATTTATTGTCGTTGAAGTATAGTCAGAAAACAAAGGCGCGATTCTGTCCATCCTAGGTGTTGATCCTTTTTTAAGTTTAGAAATGCAACCATTTGATTTGTTTACAATCTTGATAGCTTATGCTAATATTAGAACCTGCTAAAGTAGTTGCTTCCATGTGGCTTCTTTTATTTTCGTCGTGCTGTTATTACGGGTTTGATAAAGCTGGAAAAGAGCGATGTTGTATAAACCAATCAATTTAAATGATAACATTAAGAAACAAAGTCTGTATTCAACAGTTTTAAGAGGGTGATTTTGATTGATCGCTTCTTATACTGACAGGACCTTTAAATTTCAACTCTGTATATTTTTTAGGGAGATGACCTTGTTCACTACTGTAAATACGATTCCATGGACAGAAATCAACTGATCCAGGTGAGTATTTGCAGTACATTACTAATCACCAGCTTCGTCGATCTAACTTTACACAGTTGTACCTGTGTATTTAATTTCCTAAAACGCAGCTCTTGAGAGTCGTGATGAGTTTTACCTTCTACGACTGACATGATCACTTAGGCATTTCATAGTACAGTCATAGATCTCAATTAAAAGTGACCACCACGGTAGTCCATAAAATTAATTGCAACTGGAGCTGGTCGGTTACGAGAATTCATGGCTCTCGTACTGAAAGCGACCTCGTGCTAAACTTATAGCAGAAAGGTAATTGCATTTGCCATATTTTGATTTTGCCAATACATCATCCAGCCAAAATAAAATTAGCATTTTCTTAGTCTTACTTAACACATTCAATGTTAAAAAAAAAACATCAGCAGGGCTTTTACTCCCAAGAGGTTACTCGGAGTGATGGTGTTTTTTTACGAGAAGTTAATAACAAACGACCAAAAGTGTTCGCAGATGCTCATGAGAGCAGTCAGTCGCTTTTAAAAAGAGCTTTTCATTACAGTGCTCAAGTCACAGTTAAACCAAAGTTTTACAGTGCTGAGCTGATCGCTTATGAGAGTGAAAGTAAGGAAAGCGTCCAATGTACTTAGCTACAACTGCATGCAGTTTTCTTTCAGATTTTGTTCTTATTTTAACCATATGCACCTTTTCTTACAATTCTCTGTCGTGCTAACAGTTTACGATCGTAGAAAATTACCTGTGTATTCGATCAGCATTGTGCTATACATCCAGGCGTAGCTAAATTAATCCGGCGATGGATTAAATCAATCGATATAATTGATATTAATCGATATAATCCTCCGATTTTGTTATCGAATGA